CTCTCTCTGCGCTCGCTCTCTCTTTGCTTGGCTCGAGGGCTCACTTGCGAGGCGGCCGTACGGTCGGCAGCGATCGGAGCGAGCTCATTAAAATACCACCCCCCCCCCTGTGCCCGCGCCCCCCTCATCCCCCCCCCCGCCCCTCGGAACGGGACAAGCGGAGCGGGAGGAGGAACGGCTTGCAATCCGTGTCCGCGAGCACCACTGTGCATTGTCCGCATCTTCATCGTCAACGTTCCGACCGCCGCCACCACCGCCATGTGCATCGTCGCGTGAATCGTTGCCGTCATCGTCATTATCTGCGCCATCACTATCCGCATCGCCTCCACCATGCTAATCGCACCTCCGATTAGCACGGTTGGCTACGTACGGTTCAGAAGAAGTTCAACGTACATACGTACATTCCCATCATCATCATCATCACCTGCAGTACCATCATCACACTCATTATCATTTTGACCACCAACAACCACACTGCCTTGCATGCATTAGCCTCAATAGTTATCATTATTAACACCATCGCTTCTGTGTAACCATGACTATCACGTCATCATTATTTGCAGTATCATTATCTGTATTATCACCATCATCATCACCATTTGAATCACTATCAACATTATTACCAGCAGCACCATCTGAATCGTCATCTGTACCGTGGCGACTTGTTTATGCCGGTAAAAAAGCACACGCGCGCACCAACACACATGCGCTCACACAAAGACAAAAGCCTGAACAGACTGATGGGGCAAGTGCTGTTAGCGAGCACCTATGAAGGCCGTTACGGCATACGAGGAAGTGCGTGCCCAACAATACGGCCGACCGCCTTTGTCTCCACAGTGGCGATGTTTACACACCACACTGGATACTCATTTGAGGCCGAGTCGACCTAGAGGAGGCCCAGGACCGGTTCAGATAATGGTCACTGGCATTGGCCGTAAGCAGGAATTCAACTCAGGTCGCCCGGTTCGCAGCGCAGCACGCTAACCGCTACGCTACAGCTACACTACACGCGCGTACAAACACGCGCACTCACTCACGCACGCGCACTCACACACGCGAATTGCGTAACGGCATGTGCACGTGCCCGCACACATGCAAAACAACAGCCTCGCCTACAGCCTTCAATAGGCTGGTGAGGACTAGTGTTGTTAGCGAGCAGGAGTGGGGGGTTGGCCAGGACTACACCCCCAGGACCACCTTTATCTCCGCCCCCCCCCCACCTCGTGCCGAATGTTTATACAGCGCCACACCGGGTGCTCGGCGAGGGCGCAGCGCCGGTTCAGATATTCGTCAAGGATGTTAGCCGTGGCCCGGTATCAAACTCGCGTCGGCGGGTTCATGGCCACCACCGTCGCGGCCGAATCGATTTAACTGGAAAGCACGAACGTACACACGCGTACGCGCCCACGCGTGCCCTTCCATCTCTCCGGTTCAAGGTTACGCTTCCAGGAGACACCTACCCCGACTGGCGGCAAGGGGGGGCCAGTGAGATCCCCATCTCTATCTGCTCGGGCTGTGCAAGATCCTTTTGTCAGGCTCCGCCAAGGGAAAAACCTATACGGACTGCCGCTCCCTCCCTCCCTCCCTCTCTCTCCTCCCCCACCCACCACCTCCTCTAACCCCCCCCCCTCTCTCTCCTCCAAACCTCACCCCCACACCCTCCCCGACAACGGCCACGCTAAATTGAAGCCTCAAGCAACAGGGTCTGAAATTGCATTCGGAGGAGGAGGAGGCGGGCGGGCGGGCGATGCTCGGTTGCCACATTGCTGAGACGTAACGCGGGCGACGTGGAGGTCTCGCTAAACGCCCATTTGCCTTCCGCAGGTTAATTTTTTTGTGTTTGTGTTTTTTTCGTTCTTCTCTTTCAGCGAATGGCTCCGAGCGATCCAATTAAACAAATTCTCTACACGGCTTAAATGTCTTCGGCGAGGTTTCCATTCCACCCCCCCCCCCCCCAATCTGTCGCCCGGTGACGATCGGCCACCCGAATAAATGTGTACACACGGCTAAAACAAAGACCCCCCCCCCTCCCCCCCACTACTCACCGTATAGCCTCGGACTGCTGGGGCATGTGCTGTGAGCGAGCGCCTACAAAGGCCGGCAAGGCAGCACACGAGGGGGTGGTGTGGTCACGGCACCACGCCCTCGGACGTCTTTGTCTCCCCACTGCTGATGTCTACACAGTGCGCTCGTTTTTAAGGTTGAGTCGACCTAAGGGAGGCTCAGGAACCGACTGGAATATTCGCCGAACGTTGTCGATCATGCGCAGGACTCGAAACTCGAGTCGCAGAGCTCATAGCGCAGTGAGCTAACCCGCTGCGCTACCGCTCCCGCCCGAACACACACACAACGATTATACACGCACCTACACGCAAAACAAAGATCCCCCGTAGAGTATTTACAAATTGTTGGGGCAAGTGCTGTTAATAACCAACACCATGTCCGGCCACCTTTCTCTCCCCAGTGGCGATGTTTACACACCACACCAGGTACTCATTTAAGGCTGAGTCGATCTAGCGGAGGCCCAGGACCAGTTTAGATAATCGTCACCAGTGTTGGCCGTGAGCGCGATTTGAACTCGAGTCGCCGGGTTCATAGCGCAGCGGATCGCTAACCGCTGCGCCACCGCTCCCGCCTGCCACACACACGCACACACAACTATACACCCACCCACACTACAAAACAACGAGATACACGCACGTACAGTTACACACAGACACATCAGCTGCCTCCCCCTCCCCACACCAATCACAAACTGGGCAACAACCTCTGCACGCAACCACGAGCCATGATCGCTTGCAGTCTTTCACGTCTTGTGTTAGACCTGACGCGGAAGACCTTCCGCTTCGATCTACCGCAAATGCATGCGGGGCTCAGCCGTCAACCGCACTAATACAAGCCATGGCAGCGGCAAATGAAACTATTAAAATAAATAATAGAGTACGACGTTTCGATTGCAAACACAAGCAACCGTCATCGGGTGTGAATGTAAGCTCGGAGAGACACATAAACAGAGAGCGAGAGACAAACACAGACACGGAGAGAGACACATACACAGAGACACAGAGAGACACACAGAGAGAGACACACAGAGAGAGAGAGAGAGAGACACATACACGGAGAGAGACACATACATAGAGAGAGAGAGACAGAAAGAGAGAGACACAGAGAGAGAGAGAGACACACGCAGAGAAAGTGTGTGTGCTGTTTGCCTTTTGGCGTCCTCTGGTCTAACACCGTTTTGAGACTAGGCTCAAAAGAAAGCTGTCTCTGGCGTGGACCAATCAGTTTCAAAGACAGTGCATTTACTATCAGAGTATGTTTTTTGTTTGCATTCTGACCACAAGCATTGTGGTTTAATGCAGACGACTCCTTGTAAAAGGTTTCAGTTTGGTGTTTTAACATCTTAACACCTGTTTTGTTGCCAGAAAAAAGGGGAAAACCTATTCTCATAAACGATGATTATTTTACCAGGCAAGGCCCACTGAGCTGTATATCTCATTTTCAAAAGTGACCTGGCCAAAAATGAGTGCTTATCACCACCTGGAAATTTATAGCAGCCAAATACTCGAAACGCGTGATGTTTATTCTAAAATGTGGATGGGAAAACATGGGAGGACCCGGAGAAAAAATCCACGCGACCACGGGGAGAGAGACACGCAAACTCCAAATATACAAGCATCAGGGTTGGGATCGAACCCACGACCTCCTGCATACCAGGCGAGGTAGTTAACATCTCGCCACTACACCCTAAAGATGTCTCGCCACCATGACGCAAACGATTGCGCGTACATGCTGATGCACAAATGAAAATAAAAAAAATCTATCTGGCAGCGTGCAAAGATTGTGATCACCGCCCAGAAGAGAACCAAGGACCACGTACAGACCCCTTGCCCGATACACACACACAAAGGAGCCATCATCCGAGAGATACTACACTCCGCAACTCCTGACGCAATCTGGCTCAACCACTCCCGATGTAAAATTGCAGTTGTTGCTTTACATCAATGTCAGCCACTGGACGCTCGCTCCGCTAGACCCGACCTCGATCTAACACAGGCCTCCGCTACGGTGCAACGCGTGCCGATTCACAGAGTACCGGGCGCCACGCTGGCTAGGAGACGTTGACTACCTCGCCTGGTACACAGGAGGTCGTCGATTCGATCCCGACCCTGACGCCTGCTGTATATGTGGAGTTTGCGTGTCTCTCTCTCTTATCATCACCACGGTGGCTATGAGATGTCAACTACCTCGCCTGGTATACAGGAGGTCGTGGGTTCGATCCCGACCCTGACGCCTGCTGTATATGTGGAGTTTGCGTGTCTCTCTCTCTCCCCGCGGTCGAGTGGATTTTTCTCCGATCCTCCGGTTTTTCCTTCCACATTTAGAATCAACGTGCATTTCGAGCATTTGGCCGCTATACATTCCCACGTGCTAAGCCACTTCCGTTGAGCTATCATTTGTGGCCAGGTCGCTTCTGAAAAAGAGCTGCATTGCTCAGTGGAGCCTTACCTGCTTAAAAAAAAAATTTGTTTAGTTTAGTTTGACTGGTGGCGTATGGTGGAGCGGTGTGGTGGGAGTGGTGTGGTGGTACTAGCGTGGTGGGAGCGGCGAGGTGGGACGGCGTGGTGGCACCAGGGTGGTGGGAGTGGCGTGGTGGGAGTGGCGTGGTGGCACCGGCGTGGTGGCACCGGCGTGGTGGGAGCGGCGTGGTGGGAGCGGCGAGGTGGGACGGTGTGGTGGCACCAGGGTGGTGGGAGTGGGGTGGTGGGAGTGGCGTGGTGGGAGTGGCGTGGTGGGAGCGCCGTGGTGGGAGCGGCATGGTGGGAGCAGTTTGGTGGGACCGGCGTGGTAGGAGCGGCGTGGTAGGAGTGGTGCAGTGGGACCGACGTGGTGGGACCGGCGTGGTGGGACTGGCGTAGTGGGATCGTGTGGTGGCACCAGCATGGTGGGACCGGCAGGATGCGACTGGCGTGGTGGGACCGGTGTCACCATCTTACCGTATCGGGCGCCGGCGCCCATCCCCAGCAGCTCCGACAGCGTTTGGCCTCCCGCGTCCTCATCCTCGTCATCGTCGTCCACGTTATTCTCATCGTCGTCGTCGTCCAGCTCGTCCCACGTGTCGTCCAGCTCCTCCCCGCCTGCTGCCAGTGACCACACGCACGGAGACTTTCAAACGACCGTGGTCCGTGCCGTCGTCACGCACGCCATCTTCGTCGTCGTCATCATCGTCATCTTCATCACTGGCATCACCATTGTCGTCATCATCGCCTGGATTACCACCAGCTGAATCATCATCATTATAACCTGGAACGTCATCATGTACATTGTCATAACCCAAATCATCATCATAACCTGCACCACCATCGTCATCATAATTACCACCAATACCAACACCCGCCATTCGTCACTAAGTGACGGTGATGTCACCACGGCACCTGTGCCATGTCAGGTGCACTTTGAGGCCACGTGAAGTGTCGAAGGCTCGCTGACAGGTCACGGGACAGACCCAAGTGCCATGGGTTGGCTGACTGAGATGACTGGTAGATACACCAGCTGGTACCCCCCCCACTGTGCCAACCAACCACACTACCACAAACATTATCATTATAATTATCACCAATTCAATAATTATTCTTTTCTGGACCATCATAACCTGCATCATTATCACCACCATGTGCAGCATCACCTGAATAATCATCATGGACTTCATCCACCACATTTACCAGATGCAATAATTGACCTTTATCTGCCGCATCACGCAGCATGTTACGAAGCACCGATTTACATCTATTGTACGCTAACAATACAAATGCATTAATTGTTGGCGTGAAGATAACTTGTGTTTCTACGTGTTGTACGTTTTGTGTGATTGGACTACGTGCCTCTTGCAGCCACTAGAGGTGTTATATTCCAAGTAGCTTGCAAACAAAATGTTTAAAATCAAATCACAACCCTGAATTGTAACAATGTATTGAATGATGAGGAACGAAAATTGTAATACTCATCATCATTATAGTCGCCTCTAGTCATCATCAATATCTTCACGATAATTAACTGCAACAGCAATACATTATCTAAATCACCTACAACATCCTCCTCATTATCATCATCGTGACGACCAACACCTTCACAATCAGAACCACAACTTACCGCCATCACCACCAATACCACCACCACAATCTCCCCCATCATCACCTCCATCAACATAATCACTATCATCATCATCATCAACAACCGCCATTCGTCACAGCACTTGTGCCAGGCAAGATGCGTGCTGAGGCCACGTGAAGTGTGGAAGGCTCACTGATGGCAGGAGGTCACGGGACAGACCCACGTGTTATGGGTTAACCAATAACACCATCACCACCACCAAAGACAAAGATCCCCCGTGTAGCCTTTAACAGACTGTTGGGGCAAGTGCTGTTGGCGAGTAGCACCTATGAAGGCTGGCACAGCACACGAGGGGGTGGGTGGCCAGAATCACGCCCGACCGCCTTTGTCTCCCCAGTGGCGATGTTTCCAGAACACAACGGGTACTCATTTGAGGCTGAGTCGACCCAGGGGAGGCCCAGAAGCCGAATCAGATAATCGTCACTGGTGTTGGCCGTGAGCGGGAATCGAACTTGCGTCAATGGGTTCGTAGGGCAGCGCGTACAACTACGCTACCGCTCCCCACATCACAACCACCACCACAATCACCATCGCCACCAACTACATCGTCGTCACCACCACCCGCATCATCACCACCGTCGCCGACGTATCCACCACGACGCTCACACGCCACACAGCCGCGTCTCACAACTGCCAGCGCACGGCGACAAGAGCGTGGAGGCGTCACGGCTAAACCAAATAAATTAGCCACCACAAACTGCTTCTCCCTCCCACCTCCCCCCCACCATCCTCTATTTCGTAATCAGACCCGAGACATGACCTAAAACTAGCAACGGAACACTTTTATACGTGGATTACTTTTATTTCCAGGCCCTCCGGTTTTTCCCTCCACATTATTTAGAAACAAGTGTTTAGATTTATTTCGATTAAGCGGCTGCTATACATTGCCACACGATAAGCCACTTCGTTGAGCTATCATTGTGAGTCGCTTCTGAAAAATAAGCTTACATCTTAAACGAGGGCTTTGCCTGGTAAAATAAAATAGTTTAGCTTTATTTGTATATATTTTTTTCAGTCATTTGCTTACCTTGACAATACTTAGCAACTGCTATCGTGATTTAAAGCTTTCGTGACTGCAGGGATTCATATTCTTGCTTCTTTCGGTAAAGTCATGTAGAAGGGAAATAATAAAATAATATTAATATAAAACAATACAAATTCTCACGTCGTTTCGACTGCAACACAAGCAATCATCATCAGGTGTGAAATCTAGAGCAAGAAAATTTGAAAAAATAATTCTTGATGATGATTGCTTATGTTGCAGTCAAAACGTCGTGAGAATTTTAATTTTATATGTATATTATTTTATTATTTCCCTTCTACGTGACTTTACCGAAAAAACCAAGAATATAACTGCTATGTGTTTTTGCAATGTTTGTTGTTGTAACATTCTGACCCCGTGCCCCAACTGTAAATATGTGAGAGAGCAAAAAAGAGATTTATAGCTCAATCAGATTCCTCCTGTATAAATTACATCCTGATATTTTTTTTTTTATTCGTAAAATTCTCCTCCTGCAGGAAACCCGCGAGGTGGGGGGGGGAGCGACAAGTGCGGCGGAGAGGACGACGCAACGGCGAGTCTCCCGAAGTCGTGATCTCGGCGGGGGGGGGGGGTGAGGGATAAGGGCGGTGGTGGGCCGGTCGCACGGTGGCGGGGGTGCTGATTGATGAGCCCTGACAGGGCACGGGCTCCCCCCTCCTCTTGCCCCGTTGCTCAGTCACGGCTCTAACGTGCCTGTCGCTCGGCTCGCCCGTCCAATCACCCGCTCATTAGGGCAGATTAATCCTCGTCACGCGGGCGGCCGTTACGTCACCGGCGCCGATAGTCGTCCGAAAGCGAGGACGCTCATTAATACCATGCAGTCGTCGTCGCAGTCATCGTCAACCACCGCACCATCGCCGTGGCGGACGTCCCCTCCACTGGCCACCGGCTCCGTCGTTATTCTCGCACGCCGGACATCGTCCCCTTCCGTCCCCGTGTCCTGCCCAAGCCCGCTCGCTCGCTCGTCTTAGCAGCCAACGTGATGTCCGCAACCTGTGCGTGTTCTCTAACCCCAGTGTGCGAACATCTCGCCGCGGTGGCGAGATGATAACTACCTCGCCTGGTACACAGGAGTTCGTGGGTTCGATCCCGACCCTCACGACGCCTGCTGTATATTTGGAGTTTGCGTATCTCTCATCGTCAGCATCATCACAGTGGCTAGGAGATGTTAACTACCTCGCCCGGTATACAGGAGGTTATAGGATCGATCCCAACCCTGACGCCTGCTGTGTATTTGGAGTTTGCGCCTTTCTCCCCGTGGTCGTGTAGATTTTTCTCCGGGTCCTCCGGTTTTTCCGTCCACATTTAGAATCATGCGTTTCGAGTATTTGGCTGCTATAACTTTCCGCATGATAAGCATTGGGGCTATGATTTGTGATAGCTTCTGAAAAAGAGCAATGTAGCTCAGTGGGGCCTCATCTAATAAAATAAAATAGTGTTCCCTCTTTCCGTCTCCCCGCGCAATTGCAAGCAACGTCGTGAAACCGCCGTCCATGCACAGAATTAAGTCTTAAAGATGTAAAATGATAAGAGCTTTTAATGAAGAAATACAATTATCTAATTCAAAACATAATAGAATTCAAAAATGTTTCATTTTAAAACTTCAAAACGGAGCATCGGGTGCTTGCGTGAATGCGTCGTTCGTGTGCAATCTTTTTGGCGACTTTCCTGGCCGAAGGCCGTAAAAGGATTATAATAATCAACTCAAGGTCCCAAGCTCTTTCCCCAAAACATTAAAAAATCATTTGTTTCACCCCCGGTGCACGTTTACCGCCCGCAAAACTTTTCTCTCTCTCCCTCTCCCTTCCTCTTCATCCTTTCCTTCCCCCAATTCACTTCTCACACTTTTCCATTTCGTAGGTAACAGCCAGGTGATCTCCTCTACGGCTCCCGTTCGTCGTGGTGCTCGTGGTTACCCCGGCCCTGCGCTTCACCAGGATACGTCGTCATCCTTGTTGAGAAGATATATATATAGTTCTAATTAAGGTTGTGGGTTTAGATCGCGTAAGTGTCAATCAGTAAGGGATTTGTCGCGTAAACAAAACGCCAATTGGTGACTACTTCAGCCCACCGGTGCGTTGGAGAGTAAATTCACGATATTTACAAATTTGAGTAGTACGACATTTCGCTGGTAAATACATCCAGGATCTTAATTGGCGTTTTGGTTACGTGACAACTCCCTTACTAATTGGCTGTGTCGGGTGGTGGAGGGTTACGACACAATATTTATACTTACGCGATCTAACCCAAAAACCTTGATTATGAATATTGGTCGCGAAATCCTACGTGTTAAACTGATATATATAGTTCTTTAAAGATGATTCCCGTTTATCGGTTTTCTCCGTCTGACGCCTTGCGAGGCTGCGATAAGGGGAGCAAAATGGGTGAAGTATGGGTTGTGTGCGGGACAGAGTCTGTTTGAAAATTATTCACAAAACGACGGAGTTAGACGGGATGCCGCTCGTTGCTCCCTTCATCTCTCTCGCGGGCCGGAGCCGTTTATCGGAAACGGGTCGAAGGAAACGGGAGTTTTTTTCCTTCTTTCTAACGCATCTAACGCACTGTGGATTTTAGGGCGATGTGGAATAACGATAACAATAAAAACGCAAGAAGAAAGACTGCACGGCGGAAGGGAGGATGCGGAGCGCAGAAGGCGCGTGCGTGCGCATACTCACACGCACAAGACAACACAGACAAAGATCCCCCGTATAGCCTTAACAGACTGTCGGGGCAAGTGATGTTAGCGAGCACCTACGGAAACCAGAACAGCATGAGGGGGTAGGTGGCCAGCACCACGCCTGGCCGCCTTTGTCTCCCGAGTGACGATGTTTTTACGCACAGCACTAGGTACTCAATTGAGGCTGAGTCTACCTAGGGGACGCCCAGGACCTGTTCAGATAATCATCACTGATGTTGTCCGTGAGCGGGAATAGAACTCGGGTCGCCGGGTTCGTAGCGCAGCGCTCTAGCCGCTGCGCTAACCGATCCCCACACACGTGCACACACACGCACCCCCCAGCTCGTGCGAGCTCATACGCACAAATACAAATCTTGCCGAAGATCCCCCCTGTGTGGCGTTTATAGGCTGTTTGGGGCAAGTGCTTTTAATGAGCAGCTATTAAGGACGGCACGGCGCACGAGGGGGCCGTGCGGAACGCATCATGCTCGACTGATAACCTCCTGTCGCCCCGGCGCCGAGGTGTTATAACGCCGCACCAAAAACGTAAGGACGAGTTGACGTAGGAGAGGTTCAGGGCTGGTTGAAATATCCCCCGCCACTTATTTATGAGCCGTGGCCAGGAATCGAACTCAGGTCCGTCGGGTTGATGGTGTCATACGCTAAACACTGCCCCACCGCTCCTCATACAACGACAAAGATTCGCCCACCATCACCCGTATAGCCTTTAAGCAATCTGTTGGGGCAAGTGCTGTTCGCTCGTAGAGCCTACGAAGGCCGGCACGACACACGAGGGGGTGGGTGGCCAGCAGCAGCCGCGGCCGGCGGCGCTCGTATATACACACAAGACACACACGCAGCACACACGTGTGCACGCGCACACACGATTGTTCACACGCGTGCAAAAAAAAGGCACGCGACGGCGTCTTTGAGTTATCAGCGCCGCACAGCCGCTCGCCCCCCCCCCCGCCCCCCGAGACCCAGGCTCCATCAAAGCCGCGGCCGCAGCATCATCCGCTAAGCCGCGCGTTAACCCCTTCCCTGCGAGATCTCCCTCCCCCAAAGCCGCCGCGGAGACGGGAGGTGCGAAAACTCCGGCATTCCGCGGCGTACCACAGGGGGAGCAGCCTGGCCGCGTCCGCCGGTCTTGCCCATCGTTTAAAAGATTACGATTGTAGCCGTGACATGCCGTGCGAGCCTGACGATTGGTACACGCGTCGGCACAGGATACGCGGGCACACACACACACACGTGTGTGCAACAGATCTCCATCTGAATTTGATGAGTGTTTTTTTGAGGGTGTACTATAAAACCCGTGTTGCGAATTTCTTCAATTTATGATAACGATAATGATGTTGTTGATAATGCACGTAAGGACGATGATGATGATCATGCAGGAAATGATGACAATGGTTATGATAACCCTGATGATGACATTGGTCATGATGATAATGATGATGACACTGGTCATGATGAATCTGAAAGCAATGATGATGAGGTTAGTAATAATAATGATGATCATTTAACCCTGGTTAACACCGCGGATTGTATGCACCACAACAATACTACACGCTGTCTGCTTCACTCACGGCGGACGTTCAAGATACCGTGACGTCATTCGCAAGAGAGGAGGCGGCCATCATGTGCAATTGTAGTGCCATCGCGGGATGTCACTGTGCAGTGCCGGCCCTAGAGGCACGGCGTGCGGTGTAACGACATCGCGGACACCACAATGGTGTGGGTGTAGTATCGGACCTCGCTCGCTCACACCTCTCACTCACCCCATAGGCATTAGCTCGTTCATTCGTCCACTTGGTTACTCACTCACTTGCTCACACACTCACACACTCACTCGGCCACCAATTCACCCACACACTCACCCAAACACCCGCTCACACACCCACACACCTGCTCACTCATCCAAACACACACTCACTAATTCCACTCATTCAGCCACTGACTTGGCCACCCACTCACCCACGCATTCGTTCACCCAGACATTCGCTCAGCCACTCACCCACCCACTTCACTTGTTCGCTCACTCACACAATCAATCTCGCTCGTTCGCGAGTGATGATAAATTCCTGCCGTCGATCGCGTGTCGCAACATCGGCGAAGCGGTGAGAGCGTGCATTACCGGCTGACGCCTGTCGCGAAGCATTGCTCTCCATGATGACCGACAGGTCGTTGATAATTAGCTTGTAAATCTTGACGAGCAGGGGGATCACCGTCCATCGCTCCGGCGCTGCACCACACACACGCGCACAAAGACAGAGGGTCACCGTACACTGTTGGGGAGAAATGGTGTGAGCGGTGAACAGCTAAGGCCAGCAGGGTGAATGAACAGGTGGCGTGGCTAACACCACACCCAGCTGCCTTTGTCTCACCAGGAACTAACTTTAAAGCCGAGTCAACCTCGGGGAAGCCCAGCACCGGTTCGGTTCGGAAAACCACTCGCCGTTGGTGTTAGCCATGCTTGTGAATCAAACTCGGGGCGCCGGGTTCGCAGCAGAAGTATAATGCTAACCAACGGTGCCGCGGCATTTGTGCCAAGTTAGGTGCACGTAAGCTTGGTGGTTGGCAGGAGGTTATGGACAGGCCCAAGAATTATGCTGTTGACGGATGTGCCAGGCTTGCTGGCAGATGACGAGACAGACCCAGTTGTTACAAGTTGACTGGCAGATGGCCCCACCTGTGCCCCCTACTTTGCCATACACGGCACACCACGAACACGCGCGCAGACGCACGTCACACACGCACGCACAAATAACACAACCAAACTCCGAACCCGGCTTGGAACCCCCCCCAACACTTTGGCTCATCAGCACGCCCGAGAGCCCGTCGCTTATTCCAAGGGCAAACGAAGACACATTTGTTAGCCTCTTTTTTTTGACACTGCATTTTCCATATTGATTTTTATATTTGAAAGTCATAAATAAAATCAATTTAACAATATATATGATAATTACATGGAGGGGGGGGCGGATATTTAGGGAAGAGAAATATCGTCCGTAAATGGCCACAATCGTGACCACTAGATCGGTCCTCCCATCATGCCTTGCACGTCACGTGACATCATCATCATATCTGCTTGGTTCTTTCGGTAAAGTCACGTAGAAGGGAAATAATAAAATAATAACAATAAAACATAATAAAATACAATTCTCACGACGTTTCGGCCACAACGCAAGCAGCCGTCCTCAGGTGAAGTACAGGTCTGTTGGAAAGACAGCGTCTGAATGAGCACCACCAAGCTCGGCAGCGTATATAGCTTAAATATACGCTGCCAAGCTTGATGGTGTTCATTCAGACGCTGTCTTTCCGACAGTCCTGTTAATCACCTGAGGACGGCTGCTTTCTGTTGTGGCCGAAACGTCGTGAGAATTGTATTTTATAATGTTTTATTTATTATTTTATTATTTCCCTTCTACGTAACTTTACCGAAAGAACCAAGAAGATGAATCCCTGCAGTCACGAAAGCTTTAAATCAAAATCATCATCATACTCCGTGTAAGCCGCACCGCACTCACAAACACGCTTACACCGACATCATCACTTCTAGCCACCACGGTGACCTTGCTATCACAGACACTTCTCCAGCTAAAATACTCTGAGAAAATCACCGTTAGCGTCTGCCATCCCGGGTGGTACCAGATGACACATTCATGGAGGAAACAGCTACTTATTTTAGAAACTAAAGACGAAACTAAAACAATTTTGATGTTTCCATGTAGGGCCCCCAACTGAGCTGCATAGATTTTTTTCAGAAGCGACCTGGCTATCACAAATGATAGCTCAACGAAGTGGCTTATCTTGTGGAAATGTATAGCAGCCAAATACTCTAAACGCATCAATCTATATTGTAGAGGGGAAAACCGGTGGACCCGGAGAAAAATCCACGCGACCACTGGGAGAGAGAGAGAGGGAGACACACAAACTCCAAATATACAACAGGTGTCAGGGTCGGGATCGAACGCACGACGTCCTGTATACGTCCAGGTGAGGTAGTTAACGTCTCTGAGCCACCGTGGCGCCCAGAGAGCCCGAACGGTGGCCGCCGTCATGCCTACTCTGGGCGGTCTTGCTGCGAGTCTGCACGGCGTTGGATGTCGAGAAGATCTGCTCTCCGCGCACCGTCAGGTCCTGCAGCCGCGTATCGTGTGTCGCCACGCCGTGCTGCAGCAAGCTTGCAGAGCGCCATTGCGCTGTCGGGGGGGGGGCCAGTGGGCGAAGGTGAGCGGCGAACGAGCGGGGGGACACGGGCGCGCACGACGACGCGTACACACCGATGTGGTAACACCGATGCTAACAATGACACCGAGCTTAACTTAACCTACTAACTCTGGTACACTCACATGGATGCGAACACAATGATGCAGACCCAATGACACTGAGCCTAACTTACTAACACTGGTACACACCGATGTGGTAACACCAGAGGTCGCAAACGGGTTTTGATTCCTTACCCGTAACCCGGCCGCACCAGGGTCGCAAATGGGTACCTGTACCCGTACCCTACTCTGAACGGGTACCCGTACCCGGCCGGGTACGGGTACCCGTTCCCTACCCGTACCCGTACCCTACCCGAAATGAGTGACAAACGGTTACTCACCAGTGACTCACGGCCTACCCGTACCCGGCCGCACCAGGGTCGCAAACGGGTACCTGTACCCGTACCCGGCCGAGTACGGGTAGCCGGGTATCGGGTAGGGTACGGGTATCGGGTACCCGGTTGTGACCTCTGGGTAACACCGACGCTAACAATGACACCGAGCCTAACTTAACCTACTAACTCTGGTACACTCACATGGATGTGAACACAATGATGCAGACCCATTGACACTGAGCCTAACTTACTAACGCTGGTACACACAGATGCTAACAAGATTGGTACACACTCATATGGACATGAACACAATGACTTAACAAAACGTACCAACCCTGCTACACACTCACACGGATGTGAACACAATTACACTGAACTTACTCACATGGATGCTAACACAATCACAATGACATTACAGATGTGCTGCTACTGGCACATCTGTAATGGTGTGCGTGGCCTGCCACTGCACCTGGCTGCCTTTGTCTCTCCAATGCTGATGTTTACAGGGGAGGCCCAGGACTGGTTGAAATATCCGTCACTGATGTTGGATGTGAGACAGAGTCGAACTGGGGTCGCCGGGTTGGGAGCGCAGCGCGCCAACCACCGCACGCCGGCGCTCCCCACCACCACAACTAACCAATGTACTAACACTGATACGCACTCACACCGACGCTAACTCAGTGACTCTTCCACGCTTAAACTCTCGTCACGGCGCACAAACACAATGACACAATGGCACACTGACACACTGTCTACGGGTCTCTGTGAGTATTTTCCAGGCCGCTGACAAACCGGCGTATGTGGCACGCGGCTAGACGTGGCCACGGCCACGGGGGAGTGAAGTCTACTGGACGTGGTGTGCCGGGCGCACCTGACTTTGCCCTCGTACTGGCCGTAGAAGAGGTGCTGGCGGCTGGTCCACTCGCTCATGACAAACTCGAGCGCGGGTTTCCCCGTGGGGCCCGGCAGGCTGGAGAGGAACTCGAGCAGCGCGTCCAACTGCGAGTGCACCAGGTGCGCAAACACCATGATGAGAGACTGCGGGGGGGGAAGGGCGGTGATGGAGAGAGGGGGGGGTCACGCAGACATATGACACCGTGAGCGAGCGGGTCGGTGATCGAGGGGCTGGTCGGCCGAGCGAGTGGTTCATCGTGTGAGTTGGCGATCGAGCAGGCGATTGGACAAGACAGTAAGTATTATATGATTATTATGAGTGGTCCTTGAAGTGAGTGGTCCATCGAACAGGTGCGTGATCAAGCAAACGAGTGGTCGAGCGAGTGGTCGAGCGAGTGGTCGAGCGAGTGGTCGAGCGAGTGGTCGAGCGAGTGGTCGAGCGAGTGGTCGAGCGAGTGGTCGAGCGAGTGGTCGAGCGAGTGGTCGAGCGAGTGGTCGAGCGAGTGGTCGAGCGAGTGAGTGGTCGAGCGAGTGAGTGGTCGAGCGAGTGAGTGGTCGAGCGAGTGAGTGGTCGAGCGAGTGAGTGGTCGAGCGAGTGAGTGGTCGAGCGAGTGAGTGGTCGAGCGAGTGAGTGGTCGAGCGAGTGAGTGGTCGAGCGAGTGAGTGGTCGAGCGAGCGAGTGGTCGATCGAGTGAGTGGTCGATCGAGCGAGTGGTCCTTCGAATGAATGGGTGATTGAGCAAGAAAGCGAGTGAGCGAACCATCCACTGGGCAAGTGGTCGTTCGAGCGAGCGATCGGACGATCGAACGGGCGACCCACCTGCATGACACTGAGCGTCTCAGCCTGCTGCATCTTGCTCAGCACAGCGCGCAGCATGAGGTCGAGGCTGTCGCCCAGCTGCGTGCCGAGGCGCCCCACCAGGGTGGACACGAGGCGCCCCACGAAGGTGGCGGTGAATTCGGAGGAGCGCGGGTCGAGCAGGCGCGTCACGGCCTGCAGCACGTACCACAGGCCCGAGCGGCCCGCGTCGTCGCGCCAGCCGCCCACCTGCTCCAGCGCCACGCTCACGTAGGCCCGCAGGCACTCGCCGCCGCTCTGCGACGGTGACAGGGAGGGGGACGGCGCACGGGGTCAGGGTCCCCGCAGGGTGACGGTTTCGCGGGACGGGTCGCGTGGCCGGCTCGCTCTTGCGGCTTCGCTGCGGGGTTTTGCATGCAAGACATCTGTGCAGGAGCCCCCGGGGAGTGCTCGCTCGCATCTGGCTCTACGGGCCAACGTAAAGGAACACGAAGCCAACGTGGGGGTGAAACAACCGGCTCGTTGCATGTGGAATGATAGTGCACGTTGGGTTGGGTGTTGCGGTCATAGGATGTAGTTGCGGTTGTGGGTTGTGATTGTGGTCGCGGTTGTTCGGGGGGGTGGGGGGGGGCAGCACCTGCATGACGGCGTTGTCCTCGGTGCGCAGGGTGCACTGTGCCACGGCCGGGAACGCCTGGCACATGAGCAGATCGGAGAGCGGCGGCTTGGTGTTGCGCACCACCCCGCTCAGGATGTCCAGCGCCACCTGGGCCCAAGCGACGCCGCGACGCGTGGAAACGCAATGAGAGACACCGGCGCGGAACTCGACGCAAAACAAACCGCACGGAACTCCACGCTACGAACTCACCGCCAGCGCAACCTGGGGTCGCGCGGCGCCACACGGGGAAGCTCAATGCGTACGACTGGGCGAGTGCGAATGCGCACGTGTGCGCGTGTGACAGAGTTATCGAGACAAGCGTAAGAATGAGCGTTTGGAGGTGTGTCTTTGACAACGAGTGCGTCGACTAACCCATAACACCTGGGTCTGTGCCACAAGAATTTTACACTTCACATGCCCTCAAAGTGCACCGATCCTGGCACAAGCGATGCCGCCGACCTGCTATCAGCACCACGCTCACGTAGGCCCGCAGGCAGTGAATGAAAGCCGCTACTGCGGTTGCTGTTTCTGCTGCACAGGCGTGCACAAAGGCTGCACAGGGGCATCTTAGGCTTCGTATGCGTGCGTGCGTGCATAAGTGTGTTTCGTACAGAGCATAGCCCTTGGGGAACTTTGTCAGGTGGCGCTTGCATGATGCTGACGAGCGTGGGGATGAGGCGCATCTGCAGCGGGGCCTGGCACGCCTCGATACGAGACAGCCCCTTGAACATGTCCTCTGCCAGCGACGCCACCACGGGGTCTACGGGGAAAACACCGCCGCCGCCATCACATTCCTCATCCACGCGTACCCACAAACACCATGATCCCCCGTGCAGCCTTTACCAGGCTGTTGGGGCAAGTGCCGTTAACGAGCACCTATGAAGGCCGGCACCGGCGCACGAGAGTGTGATATGGCCAGGATCACGTCCCGGCCTGCCTATGCCTCCCGATGGCTGATATGTATATACCCTATCAGATACTCATTTGAGGCTGAGTCGACTTAGGGGACGCCCTGAGCAGGAATCAAACTCGGGTCGCCGGGTTAGTAATAACCACTGCACTACGGCTCCCAACTCGTTCATTCACACTCTCCCACACACTATCATGCACTCCTATTGATCAAACGCACACATTCGTCCACTCTCAAAGACAAAGATCCAAATGTAGCCTTAATAGACTATTGGGACAAGTGCAGTTAGCGAGCACCTATTAAGGCTGGCACAGCACACGAGGGGGTGGGTGACCAGCACCGCCAATGTCTACCCATTGGCGATGTTCACACCGTCACCAGATAATCGTCACTGGTGTAGGCCGTAAGCGACAATGGAACTCGGGTAGCCGGGTTCGTAGCCCGGCGCACGCTAACCGCTACTACACCACCGCTCCCCGCTCTCTGCACACACGCACTCACCCTCTCCCACACGTCACGCACGCACGCACCATTGCTGTACTTGAGGAAGAGCGCGATGGTGAGCGGGCAGACCTTGGCCTCCACGCTGCTCGTGAAGTCGGCGTCGACGGAGCACACCACGCACAGCGTCTCCATCACCAGCGTGAGCACGTCCGACGTGAAGTGCGTCGCCAGCTGCACCAGCGCCTCCACCACCGCCGGCAGGAACGGGCGGAGCACCTGCACGCTGCCCGCCTGCTTCAGCTGGTCGCAGTAGCTGCAGCGGCAGCAGCAGCAGCGGGAAGTGGTGGCAGCAGGGAACGGGGCGAAAGGTTTTCCATGAGTAAGGAATTCTCACGGGGGGGGGGGTCTACAATCTATGGGGTCAAGACACGGCGCCGCGGTGGTGGCGCGCGTCCCTGCAGCGCAAGTCTCACCCCCAGACGGCGCGCACCGCCGAGATGCGCACGGAGGGCGGCTGAGCGTCGTGCAGGCCGCTCACGGTCGCCTGGAGGAAGCGCTGCACCAGCTCCGGTGTCATGAGGCTGGCGAAGCGCGACGCCGACCACAGCGCTCGGCCCAGCAGGAACGGGGAGGCTGCGGCGGTACCCGGGTGGTGGTGGTAGTTGAGGTGGTTGTGGTATAATGGTGAAGGTATGATAGCAGTGGTGAATATTAGTAATGATTGGAATCGTAAGAGGAGTTATAGTGATGGTGGAGATAGTGAGAACAGTCATTGTGGTGGTGGTGTTGGTAGGTCGGTGGCAGTACAGTGGTGGTGGCGGAGGTGGCGGTGCGTGGAGGGGGTGGGAGACAGACGCGCACAGAGGGACGTTACAGACAAACGTCGCCATCGCCGTTTAACAACGTTGCGCGCAGGGCCGGCACGTCTGTGACCGGAGACACGTTGACTCAATACAGACCTTGTTGGTCACCCCGTGCCCTTATAAATGTCAACGTTCATCCTACAAAGTCCCATCACAAGGGAGAAATACAAACAAATAGACAAAAACATGTTTTTTGCCCGTATTGAAACGGCTGCACGCCGTATGGATCTAAGCACTCAATTTCCCTGTATAAGAATACGGGTAAACATTATGGGTTAACAGGTATGCTAACTACACGTGTCAATCACATCCTCACACTAGCTCCACCCCTAATCCTGACTAGACGAGCCAATCGTATCCTCACACTAGCTATACCCCTAACCCTAACTACACTAGCGAATCACATCCTCACGTGAGGTCTACCCCTAACCCTAACTACATGAGCAAATCACATTCTCACACGAGGTCTACCCCTAACCCTAACTACACTAGCGAATCACATCCTCAAGTGAGGTCTACCCCTAACCCTAACTACATGAGCCAATCACATTCTCACACTAGCTATACTCCTAACCCTAACTACACTAGCGAATCACATCCTCACACGAGATCTACCCCTAACCCTAACTACACTAGCGAATCACATCCTCATATGAGGTCTACCCCTAACCCTAACTACACTAGCCAATCACATCCTCACACGAGGTCTACCCCTAACCCTAACTACACTAGCGATTCACATCCTCATATGAGGTCTACCCCTAACCCTAACTACATGAGCCAATCACACCCTCACACGAGGTCTACCCCTAACCCTAACTACATGAGCCAATCACATCCTCACACGAGGTCTACCCCTAACCCTAACTACACTAGCGAATCACATCCTCATATGAGGTCTACCCCTAACCCTAGCTACACTAGTCAATCACATCCTCACACGAGGTCTACCCCTAACCCTAACTACACTAGCGATTCACATCCTCATGAGGTCTACCCCTAACCCTAACTACATGAGCCAATCACACCCTCACACGAGGTCTACCCCTAACCCTAACTACATGAGCCAATCACATCCTCACACGAGGTCTACCCCTAACCCTAACTACACTAGCGAATCACATCCTCATATGAGGTCTACCGATAACCCTAGCTACACTAGTCAATCACATCCTCACACGAGGTCTACCCCTAACCCTAACTACATGAGCCAATCACACCCTTACACTGGGATCTCAAAAGTCCTGGCTAGGGGCCCCTACACGATAAGCCACTTCGTTGCTGTATATTTTGAGTGGTCTCATAGATTTTTCTCAGGGTCCTCTGGTTTTCCCTCCACATTTAGAATCAACAACAACGTGTTTAGAGCATTTGGCTGCTATAAATTTTTATGTGATGATAAGCTACTTCGATGGGCTGTCATTTGTGGCAAGGTTGCTTCTGAAAACGAGATGTATAAGCACAGCAGGCCCTACCTGCTAAAAAATGTGTTAATAGTTTAAAATAGTTTTAGTTTGTCATTTGTGCGTATCGACGCGTTCGCTGCCTGCAAGGTTAGCGGCACGGCTCGGGTTGTGCAGTGGAAAAACAACCCGGCGCCTCCCGTACCATGCAGGCCAGGCTGGGCCGGGCCACCTCGGTTGGCAGTAGGAGTGAAAGTGAAAAGAAACAAGAAAAAATTAACCCGTAAAAACTAAGTTTTTCACTATAAATCCTTTATATGCGTGGCGGCTAGAGTCCTCTCGTCCTCTGGCTTGAGATGGCTGCCACCTATGGGTCAGATGATTGCCTGCCACCATTAAGCAATTGGTAATTAAATATAATTTATTTTTTCCTAAAAAGTGTAAAATTTTGGGTAAAAAATTCACGAAAATAAATTGTCACGCACAACGAGTCTGTGTGCAAAATGTCAGCTCGATTGGATCACGGGAAGTGGGTTAAAAAACGACCGAAAGATTTGCACGGTCGTAAGCGCGCAAGCAAGCAAGCGAACTTAATATAAAGGATTTAAAAAAAGAGAGAGAAGTGCCACAGCCATCGACACCACCGGAGGGACGGCTCACCGGACGAGCTGAGGTCGGCGAGCACCACGTTGGTGAGGAAGCCGTCCATGTCGAACTGCACCTTGCCGCTGCGGACCGCGTCAATCACGGCGTCCTTCACGGAGCCCAGGGCCAGCATGCACGCCTCGTGCAGCTTCCACCTGCGCACACGACCACCCGCTCACGTCGCATCGCCTACAGCGCGTGTCCACCAGCACGTGTCCACCAACACAGGCGATCGCCGACAGCGCAACATCCACCAGGACATGTCCACCAGCACAGGTCGTCATCGCCTACAGCGCGTATCCACCAGCACGTGTCCACCAACACAGGCGATCGCCTACAGCGCAACATCCACCAGGACATGTCCACCAGCACAGGTCATCATCGCCTACAGTGTGTATCCACCAGCACGTGTCCACCAACACAGGCGATAGCCTACAGCGCAACATCCACCAGGACATGTCCACCAGCACAGGTCGTCATCGCCTACAGCGCGTATCCACCAGCACGTGTCCACCACCAGGACGTGTCCACCAACACAGTTCAGCATCCACAGCGTGACCGTCAGCACAGGTCATGCGCAGTGCATGTCCATCAGCACAAATCGCCAACTAGCATATCCACGTCTAGCAGGATTGTGACCACCAGGGCAAGTCACGTCCAGCACGTATCCACCGGCAGATATCCATCGGGACAAGTCATCTACGGCACGCGCGACATCCACAGCACCGAGAGAACGTGTCACCGAGAGAACGTCACGTCCACCGGAACGTTGCCAACGCACGTGTCTCCGCCAACACTTCAAGGGTGAAGGGGGGGGCAGGTGGCGGTGGTGGTGACTGATAGCGCGAGGGGGAAGAGGCATTCACGGCATGACATTAGGAGCTTGCAAGCGACAGATTTTCGCTGGCGATGAGACGGATTTTGGATCTGGCCGGCCAGCCAGGGGAGGGAGAACCACAAGGCGAGCGAGGGACAACAAAAGCCAAGCTGTGGGGGGTAAGGGGGGGGTGGTTCGGAGACGGCGGCGATCTGAAGGCAGGGCCACGCAATGCCGGCCTCGGCACTAAATAATCAAAACGAGCCACCCGACCGTGCACAATAGCGGCCGAGAGGCGAACGCATCCAGCCAATGACTTCACATTCTGCGTTTGTTACAGAACGTGAAAAAAAAAGTATATATTTATAAATACGTGTTTTATATATATATAGTTGGAATGAGCAAGTTGGGTCAGTGCAAAGCATGTCTCTTGTTCGAGAAATCCAGAGTGACAGGTCCAGTGACGGGTTGTCCGAGCAGGGCTGTCAGCTCGACTCGACAGTGTACACACTCACGCACGCACTCAATTGCTCACTCACACACACACACACGAGTAAAAGACAAAGATCCCCCGTAAAGAGTTAACAGACTTTTGGAGAAAGTGCTGTTCGTGAGCAGCGATGAAGGCCGGCACGACACACAAGGGGGTGGGTGGCCAGCACCACACCCGGCCGCCTTCGTCTCCCCAGTGGCGATGTTTACACGCCACACCAGGTACTTATTTGAGGCCGAGTCGACCTAGAGGAGGCCCGGGACCAGTTCAGATAATCGTCACTGGTGTTGGCCGTGAGCGGGAATCGAACTCGGGTCGCGGGGGTTCATAGCGCAGCGTGCTAACCGCGACACTATCGCTCCTCACACTGGCACACACACACACACACGCACTCAGAAAAGGCATGCACGCACACTCGCTCACTCACTTACCCACAAAGGCATGCACTCACACACTCGCGTCTTGGTACGCACACAGACACACATGCAAACGAACACTCTCAGATGCACATGTCCTCACCCCAGGCCACATACTAGTAGACGTACGTTCAAGCACGCCTACTCAGACTACGCGCACACACACTGGGTTCACACGCTCCACATTACCGCACAACCCCACAAACAATGACAAAATATTTCCAATATAGCCATTTTCAGGCTGATAGGGCAAGTGCCGTTAGCGAGCCCATGTGAAGGCCGGCACGGCACACAAGGGGGTGGTTGGGTTGGCCAGCACCACGCTCAACTGCTTTTGTATCCCGAATGGCGATTTTTACACTCCGCACAAGGTACTCATTTGAGGCTGAGTCGACCTAACGGAGATACAGAACCGCTTCAGATAATCCTCACTGGTGTTGGGCGTGAGTGGGAATCGAACTAGGGTCACCAGGTTCGTAGCGCAGCGCACACATACACACACGCGTGTGTGTGCGTGAGCAAGCAAAACTCCAAGCGCGTAGGCCACGTCTCAAGCGGTCAGACTCAACGGGGGTGACAGCGAGGAGGCGCCAGCGGCTCGCTCGTTCGCTCGCGGCCCACGACCCCCAGCGATCGGCGGCGCGAGTTCAGCAGCGTACCCATGAGCCCACGTGCGTGCGTCAACACAAATACCCCCGTATAGCCTTAACAGATTGCTGGGGCAAGTGCTGTTTTAACGAGTAGCACCTAAGCGGGAAACGAACGCGGGTCGACGGGTTCGTAGCGGGAGTTTTGATTGTAGTGTGCTGATCTTTCAAGGTGTATTGATAAATGTTGATACTGCTACTGATACTCCTGCTGTTATGGAGTGACTCATGCAGCTAGCTATGGCTGGAAAGATTGGTAGTACATGTTATTTATATCGTTTATTGTTCAAATTGAATCACAGTTCCTATGATCACTGTTACATTGTTTTTATAGTTTTATTTTGGTGATTTTGAAAACGTTTTGGTTTAGCCATGTTTGTTTGTTGTAGTACATAGTTAGCCTGATAACTTTAATCTAAATTGTCTCATGGTTGTTATTGTTTGACTTGCATCCCACTGGGAATTTTGCACACAGCGTTGAAATGCGGTGTTTTTCTGGAAGACTTTGCTGTTTTTTCCTGGATTTTTCTGTTGCGTGTAGTCACTTTAGGATGTTTCTTGTTCATGTTTTTGTTTGTTGCGGTTGCACCCGAGTCAAAAGCCGCACGGCTCACAGGGTTATACCTAATAAATGAAACTGAAAACTGAAATGAAAAATGAAATGAAGGGACGGCACAACACACGAGGGGGTGGAGTCGACCTAAGGGAGGTCCAGGACCGGGTCAGATAATCGTCTCCGGTCGCCGGGTTCGTAGTGGGACGCGCTAACCGCTACACTCTCACGCACTCACATGCGTTCAAGCATGCCGACGAACAACTGCACACGCGTCGCCCGCGCAATCAATACACGCGTGAACACACACTCTCAAACAAAATCACTCAATAACACGCGCGTGTGGGGTGCGTATTCCCTTGCATAACCACAAGCTAAACGGAATCTCACACAGACAAAATAAGGCAAAGACCTCCGATGAAGCCTTTCATAGACTGTGAGGGCAAGCGCTGTTAGCTAGCAGCAGTGGCACCGATGAAAGCGGCACGGCACACGAGAGGGCATCGTGGCCAACACCACTACCCGGCCGCCCTTGTCTCCCCACCGCTGATGTTTCCACACCGCACCATGAATTTATTTAAGGCTGAGCCGAACTAGGGGAGGCTCAGGACCAGTTGAGATATTCGCCGCTATTATTGCTCGGGAGTGGGAATCCAACGAGGTGGGGCCTTTAACAAAGAGGTGGGGCCTTTAAGTGTCTCTTAAAATAAAATAAATCACGATGTTTCGGGCGCAACACAAGCGTCCATCATCAGGTGGGAAAGCTTGGTCTGCTGCTGAGGCACTGTTTTAAAAGGTTTGAAATGGGTGTAGCCTTTTAAAACAGTCTGCCTCAGCAGCAGACCATGCTTTCCCACCTGATGATGGACGCTTGTGTTGTGCCCGAAACGTCGTGATATATTTTATTTTATACCTACGTGAAAAAACGAAAGAGTCTGGATTCCTGCAGTCACGAAAGCTTAAAATCAAGATTGTCTCTTAAAAATCGGTGTAGATTCAAAGCTGCTGCTGTTGCGAATGCGCAGCAGGGGTGACATTCCCGATGGCCTGGTAATGACGGTCCTGGTCCTTGGTATAGAGAGGAAGAGGAGGTTGTGAAACACGCTGCTGCTTACGAGAGTTCTACCGTGAGCTGTATGTAATCATGCGGAACTTCTTTTGCGCCGTACGTAGCCAACCGCGACAATCGGAGGTGCGAGGGAAAGACAACAAAACAAACACCAAAAGCAGTTCTAAAGAAATTCGTTTTCAATCTAGGAGTGCACGGTGGAGCGAAGAGCGATACGTTGGGTGGGGCCGCAAAGGAGAAACGACAGCCCTGGTCCTTGGTATAGAGAGCAGGAGGTTGCGAGTCACTGCTGCAGCGGGGAGTTTCTACCACGAGCTGTAGTTCAGGCTGACAGCAGCGGAGAGGTAACGGGGAAATGATGCCTGGCAGTCACGGGCCCTTGTTCGCCGTACAGAGGGGGAAGGTTGCGAATCACGCTGATTGCTGCTGCTGCTGAGGAGCGTTCCTACCGTGCACTGTGGCTAAAGTAACAGAGCTCCCGCCACCGAACGGACGCGATCGTACCAGTAGGAGCTGCCGGCGTTCCGCGCCTGCTCCGCCTCCTGCAGGTGCCGCGTGGCCGCTGCCGCCAGCGCCGCTGCGCTGTCGCCCTGAAACTCCGCCATGATCGCCTGAAGCACAGGCAGGCAACACACGCACGCACAAACACACACGCACACACGCACGCACCAACAACAACCGCCATTCGCCATGGTGGAGAGATGTTAACTATCCTCTTGGTTCTTTCGGTAAAGTCAAAATAATTATTTTATTATGTTTTATTTTTTATTATTTTATTACTTCCTTTCTACGTGACTTTACCGAAAGAACCAAGAAGATGAATTCCTGCAGTCACGAAAGCTTTAAATCGAGATGTTAACTACCTCACCTGGTAGACAGGAGGTCGTGAGTTTGATCCCAACCCTGATGCCTGCTGTATATTTGGAGTGGTCTCGTTGATTTTTCTTAGGGTCCTCTGGTTTTCCCTCCACATTGAGAATCAACAACAACGTGTTTAGAGCATTTGGCTGCTATAAATTTCGACGTGATGATAAGCTACTTCGATGGGCTGTCATTTGTGGCCAGATTGCTTCTGAAAAAGAGCTACATAGCTCAGTGGGTCTTATCTGGTAAAATAAAGGTAGTTCCGTTGTTCTTAAAGTGACGTCACTACAACGCTTGGGCCAGGCTAGGTGCGCTTTGAAGTCGTCTCGTGAAGTGCGGAAGGCTCTCGCTGCTGGCTGGAGGTCACGGGACAGACTCAGGTGCTGTGAGTTGGACTTACTGAGGTAACTAACAGATGCACCACCTGTGCTCCTAACTGCGCCAACTCACAACGGCATACACAAATAAAACATTTGTGTGCATACGTACACGCACATACGGACATGGACACAAATAAACACGAACGTACAGATGCACGCACACATGCATGCATACTCAAAAGACGCACGCACACACAAAGATCCCCTGAATTGCCTTGAACAGACTGTTGGGGCGATGCTGTTAATGGCACCTATGAAGGCCGGCACAGCACACGAATGGGTGGGTGACCAACACCACGCCCGGCCGCCTTTGTCTTCCCAGTGCTGATGCTTTATATGCCGCACCAGGTGCTCACTGAAGGCCGAGTCGACCTAGGGGATGTTCACGACCAGTTAAAGTATTCGCCGCTGGAATTGGTCTTGAGCGTGAATCAAATCGGGGTCTTCGCAAAGTGCACCAACCACTGCACCCCACTCCTTACGCAGGCACGCGCGGACAGCCATGCGCACACAAACACACACACACACGCATACAGAGAGTCACATGACGCACAATGCGTCCTCTCTGTGTCCTTATCACCCCTGACACACTGACTGCCGTAACCCTTTCCACCATTAGCCCCACCAGGGCCACCGGCTTGCCTCACCCCCCCACGCCCACCACTGCCCCCCTCACCAGCAGCATGTCCTGAGCAGAGATGCGCACGGAGTAGGAGAGCGTGTCGTCGTCCTCGTCCTCCACAAACTGCTCCGGGTTCGCCGTCCACACCTTCACCTGCACCGCACGGCGGGTGTCACGGAACGGCGAGCGTCACGGTGAGTGGCACGCCGAGCATCACAGAACAGCGGGCGTCACGGAACGGCGAGTGTCACGGAACGGCGAGCGCCACAGAACGGCGAGTGTCACGGTGAGCGGCACGGTGAGCGCCAAGGCCCGGCGAGCATCACGGCACAGCGAGCATCACGGCACGGCGAGCGTTCTGGCATGGCGAGGGTAACGGCGAGCGGCAGGCAGCCTGCCAGATGGTCCCTCACCGAGGCTCCTGCGGAGTGCTACGAACACTCAGATGGGGAGTCGATTGCTCCCCGTCTGTGGGACGGCTCGGCCTCCACTAGGAATGAGTCGCCCTCCCTCTGCATCACAGTACCACCTCACCCACTCACAGTCACAGTACCACCTCACTCACTCACAGTCACAGTACCACCTCACTCACTCACAGTCACAGTACCACCTCACTCACTCACAGTCACAGTACCACCTCACTCACTCACAGTCACAGTACCACCTCACCCACCCTCCCAAAACGTGACCTCGACACCCCCCACGAATCCGTTCACGCGGATAGAAGCAGAACATCAGCCGACCACCGCACGTCTCCTCGTTCCATCTCCCTTCTCCCCGTCCCATCGCGTCGATCCTTCGCGAGAGGGCTTACAGGCAGCCGCATCCGTCTCGAAAATATTACGGACAAAGTCAACCCCCCCCCCATTCCCACCAAAGCAGAAGTTGAACTCGAAACCTGCCGACTGTGATCCGGTCGCTCTACAGCTGAGCCACCTGGCCAGCGTACGTACACACGATACACAAGACACAGACTATCCGGATAGCCGGATAGTCTGTGTCTGTTAGCGAGCACCTCTGAAGGCTGGCAGCGGCGTACGAGAGGGTGAGTGGCCAACACCAAGCCCGGCCGCCTTTGTCTCCCTAGTGGCGATGTTTACACATCGCACCAGCTACTCATTTGAGGCCGAGTCGTCCTCGGAGAGCCCTAGAACTGATTCAGATAATCGCCACTGGTGTTGGCGATGAGCGGGAATAGAACCCGGGTCACTGGGTTTGTAGCGCAGCGCGCCAACCGCTACACTACCGCTCCCCATACGACACGATAGACACACGCGTGCGTGCGTGCGTGCGCACGGTACATACGCACACACGTGCGCACGCTCGCGTTCAACTCCGCCAGCGAGGCGTTCGCTCCGTGGGGAGAGCCGGAGACACGCGCTGGTCACCACAGGGGTTACACGTCGCGGGAGAGACCGCCCAGGGGAGTGCACATTACTCCCATTAATCATTCATCGGAGCCCCAGGTGCAGACGCGAGCGAACGTGCGCGCCTCTGATGTCGCACGACGGACGCCGGTGTTCGGCTTTGCGTTTGAATCCACGGATCCTACAGCTGCGGGAATAACAAGACCTCACGCAGTCCTAAAGATGACAATGATTTGGTTTTGGACAAGCATTGCTGGGGCAGAGGGTGGGTGGGGGGGCGAAGTGTGATGTCAGCACGACTCACTAACCCGGCGCAACACTGTGGGGATGCGGGTGACGTCACCACTGAGCACTTGCCTGCCCGCGTGCCAGCCGTCCAGCCAGCAAAACTTGTTTAAAACAGTATGTTAGATCCGCCCACGTATACACCGGGACATCTCACAGTGCTTCACGTCGCGTTTCATCTCAACACATTTTGAAAGGGGACCCACGAAACACGAGTGTTAGCATCAGCCAGGTCTGCCTGCGACAGAAAACCGGACAACATTGCTGCACGCGACAGACCAGGAGAAACCTCTCGCTGTAACCGTGGCTCCTAGTCACCTACTTCTGTCTACCAGGGTGCCAGAAAATATTCGTACGTAAAGACAAAGATCCCCCCTCATGGCCTCAACAGGTTTTTGGGGGCAAGTGCTGTTCGCGAGCACCTATGAAGGCTGGCACGGCACATAAGGAGGTGGGTGGCCAATAACATGCCCGGCCGCCTTTACCTCCCCAAATTGCTGGTGTTTATACACTACACAAGGAACTCGTTTAAGGCTGAGTTGACCTAGGGGAGGCCCAGAACCGGTGCATTTATTAATTTCATTTATTTGGGTTTACCCTGTGAGCCATTCAGCTCTTGGTTCGGGTGCAACCGCAACAAACGATAAATTACAAAATACATTTAAAATCTACTGCACGCAAATTTAAACATCCTCTATAAAAACAATTAAATCTTCCAGAAAAAGCACCATACGTTTATACTGCGTACAAAAAATGTGCAAAAATCCCAGTTTGATGTTAGATCACAATAACAATACAATCTATATTAAAATTCTAAGTATAACTCTAAACTGCAACATATATTCACCACTGTTATTAGACCGTGAGAACGGGAATTCAACTTGGGTCGCCGGGTTCAAAGCGCAGCGCACTAAATGCTGCACTAACTACCGTTCCCCACGTATATACAAAACAAGTTCAACATACGTACACACACATTCAACAAAAAACACCGTATTCCGTATTATTATCTAGATCATGAGAGGCACCCAAATCGTGTGCCCAGCGCCAACGCGGTTACATAAACCTTGTCTCACACAGGCACACATCACCCCTTCGACTCACGCATTAAAGCGCAGGGGAATCAAACCGTTTCATGGCAGCGTAAACTACTTACATTCATACGGAGTAGTACATTCTAAAGATTCACACCAATATGGATTCTACCGATTCACTGCACTCTGATATCCGATTAGATTTAAACCGCTTCGGATTCTACAGGATTACACCGCTGTAGATACATGTATATCATGCAGCAAACAAAAATTAAATAAACAATCCGCCCACGGGTTGAATTGTGACCCCTGGAATTGCGGCAATTTATCAAACGTGGCGACACGGGTGGCATCGTTACAACTTCTATTTTCTGCGTTTATTTTGTTATTTCATTTCATTCTTGGGGGGGGGGGGGGGGCAGAACAAGACCGCCTCGTATCTGCCGAAAGAGGCCATCCTGCCCACTCGTGTGTTCTGCTCTCGCAGGTCGATATATCCGAATCACTCGACCGCCTGATTGCCACATCATCGAGTTCAATCAGCCCGTTCGTTCGAGCCCGTAGCCACCGCCCTCAAGGTGAACGGGTGGGTGGGTGAGTGGGTGAGTGCATGAGATAACTCGTGGGTGAGCTGCTGAGTGGACGAGCGAGTGATTAGGTGGGTGAGCGAGTGACTAAACGAGTAGGTGAATCTAAATTGAGTGACCTCTCGTGTTTGCTAACACCTCCGATTAGCACGGTTGACTGTGTATGGTGCGAAAGAAGTTCAACATACATAAGTACATACACAGATCAGTATCCATATCAGTAATCCCATCGAGTTCAATCAAGCTCCCCGCTCCATGTTCTATCCACCACGTGTGAGGGGCAGTTCTCAACGATGTGCACGGCCGTTTGCTGGGTGGCTCCAAGCACACGAAGTGGAGAGTGGCGCACAAACCCAAACTGTGAAGAGCTGCCACAATGAGACCTAGAAACGGAAGTTGATTAAAAATTGGAATCGACTACATTTCCTGTGGTGGATTACTCGGCCGCTCTGATATGAGCCCGCACTTTGCCGTACCGCGTTCCCCTGTCGAGCCAGCGTACGGCAACCTCCTCGACGCCCACGGTAACGCGAGTTTCGCAACATTCGTGCGGTGATCCACCAGCCCTCGCTGCTGGCTGCACAGCGCTGCGTCAGCCACGTGCCGCCACCCGGCTGTTTAAAGCGAGCGGCGATCGCGGCAAGCGCAACGGCACGGGCCGCATCCCCGTCACCTCCCGACGGCACAGGAACCACGCGGCGGCGCTCGGAGCTCACGCCGTGGTCGGTCGGCGGGCGGGGCCGAGCGTCGCGACTTAACGAGGCGTGCGCAATTACCGCGCTGGCGCCGACGTGAATTTATTAACGCGCGGCCGCCATCGCGCAACACGGCACGGGAGTTCGGGGCGGGTGGTGGGGGTGTTGGGGGGACACACGCTGGGGGAGGGAGAGAGGGAGGTGATGATCAATTGGGGGGAGGGAGGACAAGATAGCTCTGGCCGTATGATGCAATGCACAGACTTCAAATCTGCATAATAAGCAGCTGCTCTGTACGTGTGTGTGTGGGGGGGGGGGGTCGCTACAGCGCAGGCCAAAGGGCCCAGAACACCAAAGTGGCCAGCAACACACAGGGACCACCTCTCCGGCCTCCTCTGTGTGTGCTGTGAAAAAGGGCCATGGCCTGAAACGTCGCCTAATTATGCTCAACGTTTTCTCTTCAAGGGCACTGCAGCATTATTGCTGAAAGCGTTTAATTTTGCTGTTATTGTTAAAGTTTCAGGAGGCAAGAGCGTGTAACCAATTTCCTGAATTTATTACAAGAGCTTGGAGCGTACGGGAACAGACGATGGCAGGCAATTCCCAAGTGGAGTAGCGTAGGGAAGAAGCAGAAAGAGAAGAGTTTCATGCGACCTGCGGTGCGGTAATCGAGCGGGCGAGTGAGTAGGTGGGTGGGCGAGTAGGCGGGTGAATGAGTCCACCAACATCGCTCGTTCGCTCAATTCTCAGACAAGTATCACTTGGGAATTGCCTGCCATCGTTGTAGCTCTGTTTTGTTTTGGTATTTTCGTGTGCGGCGGAAAAGTTTGGCTACGGTGAGCATCAGTGTGGCAAGTTGTACAGGAGTCGGTCCTGGCTGGGCCTCCCAACTTCACCGACCTCTGCTTCGCAACAAATCACCGTCAGCTGCGTCTTCTCCCTGTTCGCAGCAACGGGGCCCGAGGCTCCATCCCCTCCATCCATCGCTGACATAAATTCTTATTCCGCTCGCGTTAGAGCGGGGGAGCAAGCATCAGAGTGAGCGAGAAAGAGAGAAGCGAGTGTCAGAGTGAGCGTTGAGTGAGCAAGAGAGCGAGCGTTTAGAGACGAGCGACAGGGCGAGCGAGCGAGCGACAGGGCGAACGAGACAGCGGGAGAGCGAGCGCTAGAGAGAGCGAGAGAGAGGAAAGCGAGAAAGAGAGCGTGACCATTGTTGACTGAGAGGCAAGAGAGAGAGATATTCGCTGGAAGGGTTAAAGCAGCCAAAGGAACATTTCCCCGGGAGCGAAGGCACGGGGCGGACCCCCCGCGCGGCACACACTCGGTATGCAAAGCGGCAGCCGCAGACTTCATTAGCACACTTAATGGCGCGCCGAGCGTGAGCTGAATTGCCAACGGCATGCGGGGACCGCCAAAGCCACAAATTAACATTTAGATAAAAGCATGGGGAGTGGGGGGGGAGGTGGAGAGGGGGGGCGGCGCACGCACGCAGAATGTAAAAATCATAAGCGAGCGTGAGGAGCTCGCTCGAAAACTCAAGTCCTCCCAATCCTCGTTTGCTCACCGCCTTATCAGCCCCCACCGTCAAATTGCTTCCCAATTTCCTCCCCAGACCGTCGCGGCTGCGGAATTTGCCTGCGTGCGATCTCGCGATCGTTAGCCCCCGCCGACGGGCGGCGCCTCAAGCCGGGCGTGTAACGGCGCATCGACTCCCCGATCAGCGCCGACGACGCGAGCGCTCGCGACGTGCACGTGCGCATCAATCCACGGCCGGAAGAGGTGCCGCCCCCCCCCCCCACCCTCTCTCCCCCTCCCCCCCCAACAACGCCCATTCAGTTCGCGAGGGGTTATGTGACCGTTACTTCACCAGTTCGGAGAAGGCGGGGGGAGGGAGCTTTGATGCTGGCATCATGGATAGTACAGCACAACAACGGACTTGTTGCACTGCACCACCCCCTGCAGACACCTTGGCCATAATGATGTGGGCAAGTGGCTGCAGGTGCCCTTTTAAAGCGTTCAGCAGTGCCCTGACAGAAAGCTGCAGAGGGCACTTTGCTCCTTGTCCTGAGAGGTACCCTTCACTCTTAGCCCCTAGGCAGCCCCACCACACAGCGCCCATGGATCCCAGGGCCTGCCCACAGCCCGCTAGCCCTCACGGCAGCAACTGCTGCTCGGTGATTTGTGTCGAGAATGAGGTAGACCCCAAGGCTGGCCCACACCTCACGGATATTCGCTCGCACATAGCCCCCCCCCAGGGGCTAGTCCACAAAGATAAAGATCCCCCATATAGCCTTAACAGACTGTAGGGGCAAGTGCTGTTAACGAGCACCTATGAAGGCCGGAACGGTACACGAGGGGGTGGGTGGCCAGCACCACGCCCGACCGCCTTTGTCTCCCTAATGGCAATGTTTACACACCGCACCAGGTACTCATTTGAGGCCGAGTCGACCTAGGGGAGGCCCGGGACCGGTTCAGATAATCGTCACTGGTGTTGGCCGCCAGAGCGGGAATCGAACCCGTGTCACCGGGTTCATAGCGCAGCGCGCTAACCGCTACACTATCGCTCCACACACACACGCACGCACACACACACATGGCTAAACCCTCTGGGCTGCTCACACATAGCCCCCAGAGCTAGTCCTCACTGCCGTAGCCTGCAGGGCTAGCCGCACACACACGTAGCCCCGCAGGGCTAGCCGCACACACACGTAGCCTGCAGGGCTAGCCGCACACACACGTAGCCTGCAGGGCTAGCCGCACACACACGTAGCCCCGCAGGGCTAAGCGCGCACACAGGCTCCTCAGGGCAGCGACACACGAACATGCATAACCCATAAATATAAAAATATATATTAATTTACTTACTCTTTGGTTCGTTCGGTAAAGTCACGTAGGTAGCAAAATAATAATAGATCGGCAGGATAACTGCTGCATCTGTTCCACCTGATGACGGTCGCTTGTGTTGCGATCGAAACGTCGTGATCTATTATTATTTTTCTACCTACGTGACTTTACCGAAAGAACCAGAGTATGGATTCCTGCAGTCACGAAAGCTTCAAATCAAGATTAATTGACTTATTTATCCAGGAGAGACACACTTATGTCCTCGGACTCATTTTAAGCAGGGTCCTGCATTGGTTGTTTTTATTTTAAGAGGCTTTCAGCCAATTATTGATGAGTGTTCATACATGCGGGAGAAAATCGGAGCGCCCGGAGGAAACCCACGCCTTGCGTGAGGGGGCAACACAGATTGAAAAAGATGGCAATTAGTGCATTTTCTGTACTGCCTTCTCCTGGCGAGTCAGGGCATAGCACCTTCTCGACAACCCACCAACCCTCGCCTCCAGAGTGGTGGATTGCAGGCGTGCATAGCCACCTCTGCCCATCTCACACTCAGAGTGACCTCAAAGACAAAGATGCCCCCTGTGATGGGGCACGTGCTATTCGCGAGCACCTATGAAGGCCGGCACGACACACGAGAGGGTGGGTGTCCAACACCACGCACGGCCGCCTTTGTCTCCCTAGCGCCGATGTTTGCTCACCACACCAGGCACTAATTCGTGGCTGAGTCGACCTAGGGGGGGGCCCATTCAGATAATCATCACTGGTGTTGGCCATGAGCGGAAATTGAACTCGGTCCACCGCGCACGCACGCACGCACGCAGACACAAACCCTACAGCGGCTCTGTACACAATCATAGCAGCCAGGATCCCCCCACGAACAAAGCCACCGGGGGAGCCCCCTTATACACAAACAGCCCCCCGTGGTCACCTGCTCCTCGGTGATCTGAGCGTAGAGAATGAGGTAGTAGATGAGGTCGGGCAGGGCCTTGCGCAGGGTCCCGCGGAACCGCGGCGCCTCCAGCAGCGCGTGCACAAACTCAAAGATGCTGAACACCAGGTTCTCAAAGCCCAGCACCTCGCCTGCGTGGTCAGAGAGCGGGGGGGGGGGGCACAAAGGGGCAGGGTTAGGGTCAGGCCAGAGATGTCACACGTCACCGAGTCACAGGCGGCGTGGTGGTGGGATGTTAACGCCCTCGCTTGGTACGCGGGAGGTCGTGGGTTCGATCCCGACCTCCCCCGTCCCCCCGACACTTTTATATTTAGAGTTCGCGTGGATTTTTCTCCGGGTCGTCTGGTTTTTCTTAAACATGCATTTAAGAGTATTTGGCTGCTATAAATTTCCACATGATGAGCCACTTTGTTGAGCTATCATTTGTGGCCAGGTCGCTTCTAAATAAGAGCAATGTAGCTCAGTGGTCCTTGCCTGGTAAAATAAAAAAAATAGTTTATAGTTGTTTAGTTTACTGGGAAGGCCACAGATCACTGGGAAGGTCAAAGGTCATCCAGAAAGCACCAAGTGACAAGGAAAGTGACAGGTAACTGTGAAAGAAGTCATTCGGATGCATCGTGTGAGCAATAAACACATTATTTTCTTCTACAGCCCTTTGCCAATCCACTGCTTGGTGATAAAATTCCTAGTTAAAATGCAAACAAGTCTAGCGAATTGCAAACACAAGTGAGAAGCGTAGATGGCCTATCCACGTCGTGTAGCTCGTGAGGGTCGTTTGACCATCCTCCACCTTGCTGAACTTGAACTTCCTTCGCACCATACGTAGCCAACCGTGCTAATTGGAGGTAGGAGAGGGGTAGCGGCGGCGGTAATGGTTCAGATATCACTGATGTTAGCCATCGCTGGGAGTTTAACTCGGATTATCGGGTTCGCGGTGTTAACCACTGCACCACCACTCCCCCTTCTCCCCCCCACTGCCCGTGAGTAGGCAATGCGCGAGTTGAGGACGCGCACCGTCTGAATCGACGGGGTCGGACGCCTCCTCCATGAAGTTCACCTCCGTGCGGACGTATGTACAGCGTGATCAAGGGGGGAAACCTCACCGTGGCGGCGTCAACAACTCAACAACGACACGCACGCACATACACACACACACGCGCACGCAACCATCGAGCTCGGGGCCGCCAATCGAACGTTTGTTACGTTTCCATCGCCGATCAACCGCGCCTGTGCCGGCCGTTAGCTTCAATCGGAGTCGCCGACCGACGAAGCCAGCGACGGCACCTTCGTTACCATAATCGCGGCGGTCAGCGTCATACTCGGCGGCCGCCATTGCCAATCCCGTGCCGCGTTTCGGCGAAAGCCGCGAGGATGAAACCACACTGGGGATCAAAACAAGGGTGGTGGTGTGGGGGGGGGGTGACGTGGCTGCTTTAACCCTCGCGGAGAGCGAGTGTGTGTGGACGTCATGCGTTCAAAGCGTGCAGTGCACATGCAGGCACCGAGCCTAGCAGGGGAAAAAATATATATATAAAACTATAAACACTTTTTTATTTTACCAGGTAAAGGCCCCACTGAGCTATGTAGCTCTTTTTCAAAATAGATCTGGCCACAAATGATCGCCCACTGAAGTAGCTTATCATCACGTGGAAACGTATAGCAGTACAAATACTCTACTCACTTGATGTTGATTATAAATGAGGGGGAAATCCGGAGGAGAAAAATACACAAGACCACAGGGATACACACGCAAACTCCAAAAATACAGCAGGGGTGAGGATCGGGATCAAACCCACGATATCCTGTATACCAGGCGAAGGAATCAACATCTCGCCACCATGGTGCCTATATATATATAAATCCTTGCAGTCACGAAAGCTTCAAATCTAGAATATATAAAAGCCTTGGGGGGCTGTGACGACAGAGGACAAGGGCAGCCCGCTGGAAACATGTTGTCTAAATCACGGCGGGCGAGCGAACGCCTTGGGGGGCGCCGACCCAGGCGGTCGTGCGGGCGCTATTAGCAGGTGACGTGGAGGTGCGCGCCGAATTTCCCCTCGAGAATGGAGAGGCGAGCGCCGGGGAGGGGGGCGGGGGAAACGAGCGCGACGCGGAGCGCGAGCGAGCGAGGAATGTGGCGGCATGCGCGCATGCATACACGCGGGAGTGATCGCGCGCGCACACATGCGCGCACGTAAGCATATGCTTGCACACCTACACACCAGCACAAAGATCCCCCCCCCTCCCCGTAGCTGGTGGGGCGAGTGTTGTTCACGAGCGACTTTGACGGACGTCAAGGCGCACGAGGAGGTGGGTGGCCAGCACCACGCCCGGCCGCCTTTGTCTCCCCAGTGGCGATGTTTTACACATCGCACCAGGAACTAATTTGAGTCTAAGTCGACCTAGGGGAGGCCCAGTACCGGTTCAGATGAACGTCACTGGCGCTAGCAGTGAGCGGAAATGGAACTCGGGTGTCCGGGTTCATAACACTAACCACTGCACTACCACTCCCCACACACACACACGCGCAATCGCACACACGCCTAAACATACGCACGCACGCGTGCTCAAGCAAGCGACCAGATTGCACCTTAAATTTCAATAATTAGCTGTCAAATTTTCTGTTCTATTTTCGGTGGCGAGGCATCGATTCTGCACGCAGAGACCAAGAGCAAGCAAAAAAAAAACAGTCATCTAAATTCACCCCCCCCCCCCCCCCATCGCAGTGGCAGAAACCATCGAAAGCTTTTAGCGGAATCGCTGCTCGCCGCTCGCACGTCTGACATCTCTCAGCCATGGCCGACACGAGTGCTCGCCCGCCCGCCCGCCCGCTCGCACCCTGTGATTTCCGCGGACCTGTTGTGCGCCCCATGACAAGATTACTATCATCGGAGCTCTTCCCACGGCGCACGCTTCACTCAGCGGGAGAGAGAGCGGCCTGGGGAGAATCGGGGCTTCGAGCAACGCCGCCGTCAGGCGGGCCGGCGCCCACCGCTCGACGGGCAGGTGTCCCCCGCGGAGCCGGGAAAATGACATCGGGCAACCAGAAAGGAGCGAACCCTGCCCCCCACCAGGGGTGTCGGCGGTGGTAGTGCAGCGCAACCACGACCGCCACCAACGTCGCCATCGCCCCCCTCCTATCCCCCCTAGGTATTCCCTTCTTATGCTCGTTATCTTCCCCCCCCCCTCTTCCACCACCACCACCCAAAATCTTCACTCTTCCCCCTACACGGTGTCCCAACTTGGTTAGGGCAGCAGGCATTATTTCACCTCTTCTACAACCGTCCTCGACGCGCCGCTCAAAATTTCCCATGGATTTCTTTCGCCCCTCGCCGACTGGGCAGCGACGCATTGTACCGGGCCCGCAATTTTTGTTGCAATAAAAAGAAAAAAAAAACATCCGCCGCCACCACCTCCTCCACTATCACGATCACCGCCACCAACACCACCACCACTATCATTTCCACAATCGCCGTCACCACCATCGCTCGCTTCCATCACCAGTTTCATCACGGGCGGCTAAAACCCGGATTGGAACCCAGGCTGGCAGCGGCTCAACGTCTCCAGAGCCTCTGATCAACCTCACAGTCTCGCCCCTCTCTGATGTTCCGTCTCATCTGTTCCGTCTCGTTTGTTCCGTCTCATTCGCTCCATTACCCTACGTGCAGTAATTCCATTTCATTAACATGCACCGTGCGTAAATCATATCCTGCTCTCCCACACACACACACAAATTCCATGTGTGTGTCCCAACCGCAACGATCAATTTTCATCGCCGATCCGTTACGCGCATAATTCCGATTTGCCCGTTGCACGTGGGCAGAGAGCTCTTGGATTCCGAGGTGGGTTGCAGCCGCCGGTGACGTAACTGGGTTCTCAAGCACAGAAAAGAGTTCCATGTGTGTCAACGTGCCGAATCGTTCACCTCCTGGTTAACGTCGAGGAAACTGCTAAACACAAAAGACGCTACGGTCTGTTCTCCTCCAAATCCGTGTGTTGTTTTCATAAAGCGAATTTGATATGACGCGATGAAGGATGTAGTAGGGAACATTTTTTATCACGTGGACGCCAATTGGATATAACGCGCTCGAGTGACCGAAACTACGTCACAGCCCGAGCAGGAATAAGCAGCCGTACGGCTGCCTCGGCGTAGCAGCGTCGCACAAGGCGGGATGCTGCTGGATGCTTCTAGATGCTACCCAAGCGCCTCGGTCTTTCTTCGGCCTGCGTGCGCATCTCACGTGTTATCGCAGACTGTGCTTTACTCTACATTACATTTTATTTATTATGACGCAATTTTTCCATAACACGCTGTTCTTCAGGAACACAGCAACTACGACCGTGTTACAGGAGGAAAGACTGTACTTCTTATGACTACACAATAAAAAAATAAAAAAAAATCATCCATCACGTAAAATCTGCTTTAAAAATGTGTGGGATTGCCGAACAATCTGTGAGCTTTCCGAGCGGATTCATCATCTCCTTGACAGTGCACCGATCGCACGTTTGCAATAAATCATTTACGGAGGAATGAAAGCGACCGATTATATACATGTATACAGTACACCCTAATATATATAAACCTATCGGGGGGTTAAACGATGTTGAATTTAGGACCACCCAATGTTCTGAAGTGGCGTTGTAAACGGCGGCCCCCTGAGATGCAACGCCACCAAGGAAGGTGACCCGCAATTCCATTTTCCTTTTCTCTCACCCTTCTGCTTCGCAAAGGAATAACAACAAAAAAAACCCAACCCACTTTGTGGAATAACGACCTCAATTAAGCGAGCCCCGTTTCCCACGGCGACGCACAAACATCAAAGGTTTGGTAGAGATGCGGTGTGGGGAGGGGTGGTGATTGGTGGTAGAGGAGGAGGGGGAGGAGGGGAAGGAGGAGGGGGGGAGTATACTCAGCCGCATCTCACAGCAGCCGCATCTCACACCCTCATCTCACAAAAGACAAAGATCCTCCATATAGCCTGCACAGACTGTTGGGGCAAGCGCTGTTAACGAGCACTTATGAAGGCCGGCACCGGCACACGAGGGGGCGGGTGGCCAATGCCATGCCCGGCCGCCTTGGTCTCCCCAGTGGCGATGTTTACACATCACAACCAGGTACTTACTTGAGGCTGAGTCGACCTAGGGGAGGCCCAGGACCGGTTCAGATAATCGTCACCGGTGTTGACCGTGAGCGGGAATCGAACCCGGGTCGCCAGGTTCGTAGCGCAGCGTAGCGCTAACCGCTTACCCTACCGCTCCCCCCTCATCTCACACCTACGCGAGCACAAACACCCGCGTCTCACACCCTCGTCGCGTGCGTGTCAATATTGTCATCACACACCAACGCCTCATCAAAACGCGCACCTCACACCAACACCATGACCACAGACCAGAGAGCCACAACACACCAGTGGCCCCACATCTCACACCTCCGCTCCCCAGGTGTGAATAATTTCCGCACAAACTCGTGCAGGGACTCAAAAATGAAAATATATATATATTTTTAAGACTTAAAACGTGATGAGCGAGCGTTGCGTGCGCGCGAAATAATTTAATAACTGTTCAAATTACAGGAGCGGAGGGGGGGTGTAGGGGCGGCGCTCCTGGCTGTCGTGACCCAAAAAGGCAACAATTATTATCATTTACGCTTTCACTAAAAGCGGTGGTTAACCGTCCTGACTGCACGATGGCAAATTACTTTAATTGCACGACAAAAGACACGAAAACCGGGGAGGAATCGCTCGACTCGAGGTTCGTGCCGGGGTCTTTTTTTGTTTTTAAAGACTATCGTACGCTCGCGGCTTGCGGCAACGAAACGCACCGATCACAAGCGGCGACCGCGTTTGCTCCGCTGGGGTGGGGGGGGAGGGGCAGGCGAGCGCGGCGGGCGGAGATGGCTAGGGGCGGTGATGGTGTGACGCAAATCACGCAAGGCGCATCGGTCCGCACATCCCATCAAGCGAGCCGCTTTGTTGCTGCTGCTGCTGCTGCCGCTGATAGAGAGACAATGGGTTGAGGCGGGAGGGGGCCGGCCAGGCAAAACGTGAAATATATATTTTTTGCTTTTCTGGAATAAAATCCATACTCGCACGCACAAGAGGGGCGGCGGTGGCAGCGGAGGGTGCCCTGTCATCAACGCAGAAATCCATACCGATACCGGCGACACGGTCGCAATATCGCAATATTATTACCGCGTCGAGCCGTCGAACAGGGGCGACAGCAGTGGCGGGCGTCACATGACCGTCACGGGCAGAGAGATGGGGGTCGCGACCTCACAGGCAATGAGGTTACAACCAAACCCCCGCCCCCCAGTTCTATACAAACCGCTGCCCCAATCCCTTTGCGTATCACCCAGCGCACGCGGATGCCGAGGACGGAGGAGGAGGAGGCACACGGAGGAACGCTGGCGCCATGAAGGATATATGGTGGCGCTTTGGGTGAGCGTGTTCCACACGATGGGCAGGATTTGCTGCATGGAGGGAGACATCTGCTTGGGGAAGCTCTTGACCAGCGCTGTGACGGCCTGCGTGTGGACACAAGGGCACGCAGACACATCATGGGTACACGCTGGGACAAACGGGTACACACGGAGACAAGGATGGACACGTGCACATGGATACACGTAGACACGTGCAGGTATAAAGGCACAGGCGCACATGGTCATGCACAGACGCATGGAGGTATGGATGGATAGACAGTCATACATGGACAAGCAGAGGACACAGTCACACATGGACAAAGCAAGATACACATGGACAAATACAGACTCACATGGACACAGATATATTTAGCCACTGATGGGCATAGCCATTACAGACTCTGGGGCAAGTGCTGTTTGCGAGCACCTATTAAAGCCGGCACAGTACACAAGGGGGTGGGTGGCCAGCACAATGCACAACCGCCTTTGTCTCCCCAGTGGCGATGTTTACATACACCACACAAGTACTCGTTTGAGGCTGAGTTTAACAAACGGGAGGCCCAGGACCGGTTCATAAATTTGTCACTGGTGTTGGCCGTGAGCGGGAATCGAACTTGAGTGTCCGGGTTCGTTCCGCAGCGCGCTAACTGCTGCGCCACCGCTGCCCAGTGATGGCCACACACACACGAGGTTATCATTAAGGACGGCTGAGGATGGATAAATGCAAAAAAGTTTACAAAGTTGCGCATCCTGTAGAGGAGTGTGCTGTAAAAAGATGGGAACCCACACGAAAATGATTTCAACTAATTATCTGGTGATATGACTGCGTTGGAAGTGGTGCACAAGTACAATTAACCACAACAGAGTTGTTTTGGCGTTAGATCGCGTAAATATAAATGTGCCGTTAAACCTGTCGAGGCTGGTTGTAATTACTGGCGAAACGTCACTGCACTCAAATAATAAATGTTGTGGGTTTACTCTCCAACACACGACCGGTGTGCTGTTCTAGTAACTAATTGGCACGTTTTATTTACGTCACAAACCTTACTAACTGGCTGTGTCGGGTGTTGGCGGGTTTAACGACGCATTTATATTTACGCGATCTAACCCAACAAACCTCGACAATGGATAATATTGGTCGCAAATGCCTCCTGCTACGTGTTATTCACCAAAATCTCAACACATTCGTCAATAACACTGTGGAGCCATAAAAGAAAAATATATATATGTAAGGGACGACGTTTCGGGCAACGGTACTTCTTCGTAGGACATGTGATTTAAAGGTAACACGCACGAGCTCTACTGGAACACTTTACACTTCACTCCTGAATGTTTTTTTTGCTTGCATCACCTCCCGACGGATGACTGCAAAAAAACGAAGGTTATAATTCACGAACACTCATTCCGTCCACTTAATCCACCGACTCTCAACACAAAGATATTTTCGTAACGATGGGCGACTACGGATTCGCCAGCCACGTTCTTTTGGGTCCGGGAGACGCCTCGGAATCTCGCGAACGGCGTCTCGCCATTGCACACGCTAGCGAAAGGAGTTCGTGGGAGCCGGGAATCGATGCAGGCCCGACACACCACGCTGCGGGGAATACTCTGGAAGTTTTTTTGACGCGGCCGGGTGGCTCGGAGGTCAGAACGCTGAGCCAACACCGTCAGGAACCTCGGTTCAAACTGGGGCGGCCACCAGTGATTTGATTTTTTTTCTGCACTTGCTGTACACAAGAACAAAGGCCCGCAGCAAAACGCTGGGTGACAAAAAAACAGCACACGGGCATCCGCCAGACCCATGTACCTGACGCGTCCTGATGGGGGGGGGGGGGGGGAGAGCTACCAGTGATTTCAACCAGGTTCCCAAGCGTATTGAGTCGATGGCCGGTCACTAATGTGCCAAAAAAAAAACATTCAATTATTTTGGTTTTATCACTTAATTTGTCCCAAAATCTCCAAATGTTCGGTTCGATCGACATGTCATGAAACATCTCGACCGGGGCGCCCGCTGTGGCGAGAAGTTATCTCCCTCGCCTGGTATACAGGAGGTCGTAAGTTCGATCCCGACCCTGACGCCGGGCTCTATATTTGGAGTTTGCATGTTCTCCCTGTGGTCGCGTGGATTTTTATGTGGGTTCTCCGTTACTTAACTCCACATTTAGAATCGACGTGCGTTTAGAGTATTTGGTTGCTATACATTTCCACATGATGATAAGCCACTTCGTTGAGCTATCATTTGTGAGAGCCAGGTCGCTTCTGAAAAAAGAGCTACATAAGCTCAGTGGGCCTTACCTGATAAAAATGTTAATAATTTATAGTTATTAAGTTTACTCGAAAAGCCACAGATCACTGCAGGGCACGTGTGAAAGATAAGACGTCGCTTTGAAGGGAACTAAAAAGCAGTTCTGTGACATCTCCTTCAGCGGGACGCAGATTTCTCACGTAAGGATCTACGTACGTACGTACAATGTTGAACTCCTTTCGCACTGCACGTAGGCGACCGTGCTAATCGGAGGTGCGGGGGGGGGAAGAGGGCGGGAAGGCAAAGTGCCCTTCCAGATTTCCAGCAAGACGAACAACTCCGTTTCGTAACGCGACGCCGACGGCAACCATCGCTGTGCGTTTCCGGAACGTGGCGACGCACACTCCCACGTATATTTGTATTTCACAATAAACACATATATATAGAACCTATTAAAAATAGCCCTTCTTAAAGGGCAGCGACTCGGGTCCCTCCGGCCGCATCACAGCGGGTTGTGGCATTGGGGCCACAAACGAGAGGGGGGAGGGGGCGGTAGGGGGGGGGGGGCCGAGGGGCCAGCGCGCTCACGGCTACCTGCGGCAACGCCAATCCACCGCGAAATGTAAAGCTAAATCTGGCGCGGTGAGCGGTCGTGCCGGCCCCGCGGGGCTTCCGTGTTACCGCGCGGCACCAGAGGCCACGGCAACGTTTAGATGGCGCGCCCCTGTGCCGAGCGCGAGCGGGGAGTGAGGGCACCCACCCCCCACCTAAATCCACCTCCCCCAACCACAGCCCCCCCCCCGTCCCCCCACCTCCCCCCACCACAACACGCACCCTCCCACCTCCCCCCACCACAGCCTCCCCCCTACCACAGCACCCCCACCACCTCCCCCGAGCGCAACACGCCCCCTCCCCACCTCTCCCCACCACAGCCCCCCCACCTTCCCCCCACCTCCCCCCCAATCACCACGTGGCCCCCACCCACAACTCCCCCCATCACCGGGCGGCAGGGGCTCAATACAAATAATAAAATGTTCCGAAATTCACGACCCCCCCCTTTGTCAATCCACCATGGCTGGCGGGCGGGATCGGGGGTCGGCGGTGTGAAGGCCTCCACATTGCCGTGCGAGTCGTGGGGGGTGGAGATAGCTTGACCATGCTTCACCATCGCTGGCCAGTGCTCGTGGGTAACTAAGGCCAGCGGAGACGACGGGACCTCATGAGTACAGCACAACACATTTTGCTGTGCCGCCCTCTGCTACCCGCCATGCATCTCCGCAGCAGCCTCTAGAACCTGTTGTATACACGGTGGTCACCCATCCAAGCACTATCACGGCTCGAGCATGCTTAGCGTCCGAGGTCTGAAAAAATAATAATCTCTATTAGTATAAAAGGCGCCTTTATCATTGAAGTACGTAAAAAATAAAACTGCACTCACAAGAATATATTAAATCTAAGCGTCGTAGAAAGCTGATAATAACGATGTCAATGACTACTCCCGAAATTCCAATACAATTAATAATTATTACAGAGTAATCTTAAGGTAGGAGGAAAGCCTGTACAAATAGGTGAGTCCGAAGGTGTGATTTAAAAAGTTAAATAGGCTCAGAATCCCCCATGGACCAAGGAAGGGGATTCCAAATTCGCGGCCTGAAGAGATTCGCTGCATCCTCTGGGATATGGTCATTGCTGATGACTTCGATTTTTTTTTATGTGGTAAATAGTTCAATACATGCACAGTATGGTCGACTTGTTCCTGTACTAAGCCACATTTTCTGAATATGAAAGATATTACCTTCAAAATTACACCCCGTACGTATTATCGTAATTTTTTGTTTTACTGTGCAGTGAACGGATTAACGCAGCGTGCGATATGACGCACGCGCAGGTCGCAACGCAGCCCTGATGGGAATTGATTTTGATCGACGTGTCGTCAAGACACCTAGCCTGGCGAAAACACACACACGTACAACATACGCGTGCACAGGGCCGCGTATACGACCAGCCTGGTGCAATTTCGGAGGCATCATCGGCCAAGCTCACACGGCACAGCGCCAGTCGGTCAAGCCAGTCCGCCAGCCGGCCGGCCAGCCAGCCAATCGGCCGGCCGGCCAGCCAGCCAGCCAGTAAGTCATCCACCCAGCCGGTCAGCTGGCCAGCAAGCCAGCCAGTCAATCATCCTGTCAGCTGGTCAGCCAGGCAGCCAGTCAGCCAGTCATCCAGCCAGCAAGCCAATCAGACGACAACCCCACCAGGCAGTAAGTACGATAGTCCGCTAGCGCTGCCCGCCAAATCCAATCACGCCGCCATTTGCACGACGTTATCTCCGTCGCCTCCCGTGAGAGGCGAGCCCCTCCGTGCCGCCAAACAATTACGGTTTCAATTTCATGACCATTTAACGCAAATTTAGCGCCGTCTTTTTTTTCTCCCCCCACACTCGCTCTCTCTCTCGTCTCCACCGCCACCCCCGTACCGTGCGCAGGCAGGAATTCACGACATAAGAGTGGCCCCACGGTCACCACCACCCCCCCCCAACCCCCCAGGGGGGACGCGAGTGGCAATCGCGAAAAACACAGAAGGGGAAAACCGGAGCAGCTAGCGCCGCCAAGCCCAACGGCCCCCAGCAGCGGGAGAGCGTGGCGTTTTCCCAGGGAGCATTGCGGCAGCATTCACCAAAAGACTACAGTAGACTCTCGATTATCCGCATGCAGTTTATCAGATTTGCGGATTAACCGCGCACCTGAGATTTTGAATTTTCCCTTAAGCCCAAATGAATAATCTAAAAACAGTTACGCATTGTTATTCTTGGAAATGTTTATTACAAGTCATGTGCTTAAACCGAATAAATGTTGCTCCGGTTAATCCGAAATCCACATGATCGCCGCGACGGTAATGGGCGGAGTTTGATTGACGTTGATTGGCGTGGCTCTGGTGCTTAATCGGCCGAGTCTCCTGCTGCGCGGGAGCAGGAAAGTGTTATCATTGAGCACGCGCATCGATCGGTCGATTCGTTACTATACATTTTTTTTTCTTCATTAACAAACAAATTTTTCTTAATTTAAACTTAATTTATACTTACATCAGTGTTTTTTTGGCATAGAGATCCGCGGAAAATTACATTTTTTGGATTATCCGCGATTCTGAATAATGGGCGGCCATCCTTTCCGTCATTAGCGTGGATAATCGAGAGTCAACTGTATAAGTAAAAACGGTAAACGGCGATGATTCCCGGTTTTTCCTCCCAATTTCGCGCGATGGAGAAGCTGCCGTGGAACAATTGAGAGAGTTGACCGTATTTGTGACGCGGAGTTTAGACTCGCTGCGACTGTGACCACGAGTCCCAGACCACGGAGCGTATCGCATCAACCCACCCGCTAAGATCTGTGCGGGAGGCGCTACATTTCCTCAATTAGCATCTCAGGAAGCCACCGAGCGGATCGCCAAATGAGACGTCCCATTACAAGCTTCTCCCGTCGTATGAAAGAAGACGTGAGACACACTGAACTTCAATTGAAAAGCAATGTAACCATCTGCCTACAGAAAAGAAGGTATTACTGGTAGGAACCACCTGGTTCCAACAGCCCACAGGGGATTATTGTGTCTGTCCGTCCTGCATCAAAAAATGGAAGGGGTGGGGCTGGGTCGAAAGGGGAGGGTGGGGAGGGGCTGGGTGGGGAGAATGGGGAGGAGCTGGGTGGGGAGGGTGGGGCTGGGTGGGGGGTAGTAGGGGTGGGGAGGGGTGGGGCTGGGTGGGGGGTGGGAGGGGTGGGGAAGGGCTGGGAAGGGAGGGTGGGGAAGGGCTGGTTAGGGAGGGTGGGGCTGGGTGGGGAGGGGATGGGCTGGGTGGGGAGAATGGGGAGGGGCTGGGTGGGGAGGGTGGGGCTGGGTGGGGAGGGGCTGGTCACCCCGTGGTGCTCTTATAAAACTCAACGTTTAACCTACTCACGCCGGCTTGTGCCCGCCCTCACAGTCGGCCATATTTGCGGAATACACCACGCCGCCGTTGACCCTGGCCATTGACCGAGCAACCCAACGTTCCTACCAGCTCCCTCCGCAGGAATGTGCTAACCCTGCTGTGACACCCAGTTCAAAAACAAGGGCACTGAACAAATAAAAAATGAAACAAAACCTGAAAAGTGCGCAAAGAAGCGCAGAGAGGTGGATGCTTGAACGACACTGGAGAGACAGGCAGAGGAAGACGTAAATCAGAGAACGCAAGCAGGTTGGGCACACAAATGGGCTTGGGCAGGACGCGTCAAGGCTATAAAGGACGACGGCCGGCGGTCGAGACTAACCACGGAGAGGCAGCCAAAGGAGAGGACACGCCCAAGGGCGTCCGCCGTTGAGATGGAACCATGGAATCGGTTGGCGAGACGATGCCTGATGGACTGTGGTATCGCAAGACTGTGCAAGAAACGGCGAAGGCTTAGGGAGGTCTTCGCCCAGCAGTGGAGAGATCATGGCTGACCAATTCACATTTGTACGACTAAATACCTTGAAGTGCATGGACGGCAGCCGACGTCGTGGGATAGAAGCAATTCAATTCGGAACACTCACCCGTGAGCAGTGCACTACCCTGTGCTGGAAGGCAGCTCTACAAGTTAACATCACAGAACTACCACGTGGAGACAGTTAGCAAACAAAAAACACTAACGCATTAACGCTATCCCCCTTGTGCAAGGCCAGTGTAACTATCGTCTTTATTTGTTTTCATTTTAATTTATTTTATATTTTTAACCTACGTGACTTTACCGAAAAAACCCAAGATTATAGTGTAACTATCATCAAAACATTAGTCAATGACACTCTAAGGTCAGCGTTCCTGATTGATGTTTGAGTTTGTGTTGCGCCAACGCAGGCGGCAGCAGCGGCGGCGGCATCACCAAAATAATGTGTTTGCAACTTAACTTAAAAGAGTTTCTCAAATTGCTCCACTCGAGGGGGGTAAGCGCGAACCTTTTACATTCCCCGCCGAGAGCGTTCGTCGCACGTCAAAAAAACATGTTTTTTAATCGCCCCCTCCCCTCACCCCCCCCCCCGCAAAGGTGACGAGGTCAACAATACCTTGAGGACCTCCATCTTAAGACCGCTGTCTGACGAGGGTCCGTCGGGGATCTGCATGGCCTGGATGAACGCCTCCAGGAACTGCTGCAGCACGGGGAAGAGCAGCGTCTTGCTGGCGCCCTGGAGGCACGTGCCAGCACACAGGTCAAGGGTCACCGCCGGGACTGGAAGGTTCCTTGTACGTACATTGAACTTCTTTCACGCCGAACGTAGCCAGCCGTGCTAATCGGAGGTGCGGCAAAAGGACGACAAACTAAACACAAAAAAGCAGTTCTAAAGAAATTCGATTTCGATTTGGATTTTTAAGTGCGAAGCCCCGGTTGCTTCCTAATGTCGGAAGGGAAAGCGTTCCAGACGGCTACAGAAGCGCATCTGAAAGCGCCGTGATGTGGTGACCACCGTCTTTGTTCGATGGCAGGCCACACACACTACACTTCGCCACGCACAAAGATCCCCCGTATAGCCTTAACAGACTATAGGAGCAAGTGCTGTTAGCGATCACCTATTAAGGTTGACAAGGCACGTGAGGGGGAAGGTGGGAATCGAACTCAGGTTGCTGGGTTCCTAAGGCAGCGCGCTAACCGTTGCACTCCCGCTCTCCAAAGACAAAGACACAGAAAGACAAAGACACCGAGACAGACACACAGACCTGAAGGGCCACCGCTTAGACAAGCAGGTTCTTTGTGAACGAACGTAGAGACAAATATGCCACCGATCAATGCACAGACCCGCAGCAGTGTGTGCTGTTAGCGAGCGCCTCTTGACACACGTAACAACAGCCACCATTCACCACTAAGCGACGGTGACGTCACCACAAGCGCGCGTGCCGGGGCAGGACGTGGCAATCATCATTTTCCGTGGGTCGTTTCCTCAAACGCGAGGAGGTGCACCGCTCGCAAGCTCGGGCTGCCCATGCTTCTCACCTTCTCCACCTCGTCGATGGCGTGGATGAGGCTCGCGCAAACCGTGAAGATCTCCACGGCTCGCGCCCGCGTGCGTATGCTGTAAACCTGAAACACCGACACGCGCGCGAGCGACATCACCGACTGAAACTCGGGCTTCGGCGCGTCAGAGAAACGGCGACAGATACGGCGATGGGCCCCTTTAATATTGTTAAAGTTTTGTGTCATTCAGTTACATTTATTCGATTTGCTCGTGGTTGGTAATACGGAGCTGTATAAAATCAAGTTTGTAAGTTAGTGGTAAGCCTATGTGTTACACGAGCTTAACGGCGCAAGCACATCCGTACAAACGGGGGCAGAAAGCACAACGAGAAAAATAACACAACGATCCGGTGGTGAGCCTGACGGTTTGGTTAAACAAAGACAACAGAGACAGAAGGATTTCGTGACCCGAATCGTGACAGGGAATCACTATACTCGATGAAATCTCTAGGGGGGGGTGCTGAATTGGCACAGGCCCGCAGTGGTAATGGTAAACTGCTGACGCCACGGGGAGCCTCACCTCTGCCATGGTGAAGATGCGGTACATCTCCGGCAGGATCACCGGGGCCACCAGTGGCATCTGTGTGTCCGTCACCTCCCTGGTGAACTCTAGAAACACACGACGGGCGATTCTCCTTACAACAACACATCTACAAAGACAACGGTCGCCGTATAACAGACTGCTGAGTGCAATTAGCCAGCGCCTATTAAAACCGCCAGTGCGGATGTTTACACGCCGCACCAGATGTTCTCAGGCCCAGTTGACCTAGGACAGGGGTCGGCAACCAAAATAACAAGAAGAGCCATTTCTTTCCAATTCGGTACAAAATTCAGTATTTCAAGAGCCGCAATGCATCTGAGTACATACTGTACATACGTACATATCGTCAAGAAGCAGCCCGTAAAGAGCCGCATGCGGCTCCGGAGCCGTAGGTTGCCGACCCCTGACCTAGGAAATATCCAGAACGGGTTCCCATAATCGTCACTGCATATTGGTCGTAGAGCGGAAATTGATCTAGGTTAGCCGGTTTCGTAGTGCAGCGCACTAACCACTATACTAATGCTCACACTGACACACAACCTCACAACCCTGTATTCACACCCACACCCACCCTCACTCACCCATCCTCACACACTTATCCACCCGCCCTCTCGCACTTACCCATTCACCTTCTCACTCTCACTCACCCTCTCACATTCTCACGCCACCCTCTTAAACTCTCACTCATCCACCATCTCACATTCACACTCTCACCCACCCACCCTGTCACATTCACTCACCCATCCACCCTCTCACATTCACACCCACCCACCCACCCTCTCACATTCACACCCACCCACCCACCCTCTCACACTCTCACCCACCCACCCACCCTGTCACATTCACACTCACACACTCACCCACCCACCCTCTCACACTCTCACCCACCCACCCTCTCCTTCACCCCGGGGCCCACCGCAGGCCCCCCCGCGTCTCTCACCGGTGAGGACGCGCATGGCCCCGTGCACGGCGCTCACGTCGCCGCCCGTCAGCATCTCCATGAGGAGGCCGAAGAGCTGCGGCCACGCGTCCGGCCAGTCCCAGTGAGCGATGGCCGACACGGCGTACGCCACCGTAGAGCGCACCTTGCTCAGCGACTCGCGCAGGCCCGCGGGCAGCAGCTGCCTGATGGCCGCCTTGGCCTGGTGGTGGGGGGTGAGGGGAGGGGCGGGGGCGTGACGGGGGGGGGGTTACGAGGCAACACGCGTGACGTCGCAGCAATCGAGCATCAAGGTTGGTAAATGTGAATTGATTGATGACGATGGATGTCCGGGCAATTTCATGAGCGACGCACTGCAGGCATCCACGCTCCCATCAGCCGGACACTCTCCTCAGATGCACGCCCGAAAATAAACTGTAAATTCAACGATGTTTTATTTTACCAGGTAAGGCCCCACTGAGTTATGACGCTTTTTTTCAGAAGCGACCTGGCCACAAATGATAGCTCAAGGAAGTGGCTTGTCATCACGTGGAAATATATAGCAGCCAAATACTCTCATGACATAACCACTCACTCCCATCACACAAACACACACCAGACACACACACACACACTCTAATCAGACACATTTACACACTCCTATCAGCCCAACACGCTCTCTCTGTCCCATCTGCCCCACACGTAAACATGCCCTCGGGGCAGTGGTAGGGACGCCCACAGCCGCCGCGTCACCGTGCCAGAGGTGCGGGACCGGCGGCGAGTCAAACTCACGCTCTCGGGAGCCTCGGGTGGACGGAACTTCTCCGAGTGCGATGACCAGTGCGTCTCCACGTACTGCTTCAGCACTACAGACGCCAGCTGCGCGCAAACACACACACCATCAGATCAGGATCACCATCAAGTTGTCATCGTGACCATCGCCGCCGCACATCCTCGTTACCGGCGGTTTCACCCCTCTGCCAGATCCCGCAGCTGCTGCACGGGAGACACGCGGCGACCTCCAAGATTCTGCCCTCACAGCCTCATCCCACCATCTGCTCTTAGACTCACGCAGAGACCCATACACTAAAGCAGAAACATATAGACTCATACAGAGACCCATACACTAACGCAGAGAGCAATAGACTCATAAGACCATAGACTCATATAGAGACCCATAGACTCACACAGGCACCAACACTCACATGGCGACCCATAGATTCACACAGAGACTCAGAGCGTCCCGAACAGTATCCAACAATCTGTTCCGAGGCCTTGGTCAGTGGACAACATTGGAGATCGTTCTGACGCCGTCTCAGCAATCGGCCCTCCTCCATCCTGCACACGGGGCCCACCAATCGCAACAGTTTTTTGCCACGTCCCATCTCCACCACTCACCCGCCACGTTGTCCTGCAGAAGCCTTCATTGCCTTTGCATGTCCTGCCACAACTTTCTCAGCGTCCGTCTCGGACACCCACGCTCGAATGCCGACAGCTTTTACTTTTTCGGTTGCTTAGTTATAGGGTCCGGCGCTCTCCGATCCGCGCAGGAATCAATACATACAGCAATCCTGCTTCGAATAGCCTTCCTTTCTTACACTCAAGACCTCTGTGGCCTGCTAAAAGCAATGCACCCCTTGGCAACCGACAGCCTCCCCTGTGTGGGCCTGCATAGACTGCCGGGGAAAGGTGCTGTTAGTAAACTTTGCAATTATGCAACAGAATATGAAAGCTTCTTATCCTGGTAGGGGTCCGCGGAGAGTTGACGGGGCCGCTAGGGCGTGCAAGACAAAGCAAACCGCTGGGATCACCGTACACGGACAATGTTTGTATCTATCTTTGGTAGGTTGCCCTTTTCTTTAATAGCAACGTGTGATTTACTTATGTAATAATCATAATAATCAACTTATTTATCCAGGAGGGGTACACCGAGTCTTATGATTCATTGTCAGCCAACTAATAATGAGTGTTTATACACGCGAGAGGAAACCGCAGCACCCGGGAGAAAATCCACACGCGCGAGGGAGAAACACTCTATCCCCGTACGGATGAAAACAGATGCCGATTAGTCCACCTGATTGACTGCCTTCTCCTGGCGAGGCAGGGCATGACTCCACGACGCCCACGGGAAGTGAGCTTCACAACAACGCTGTGTATGAGGTGATCCACCAACCCTCGCTGCTGCCTCCACAATGCGTGCGCGCCACCACCGCCGAGCTTACACAAAAATTGAGGGCAACTGGAAAGTTGCACGGAATCACATGGACGACGTCAACATCGTAGATCGATGTCGTAAATTCCTGAGACGCGAGGCAGTTCCCTTCAACGTGAAGGCAATAACTCCCGTGCTTAAGGGAGCTGGCCAGGGCTGCTTACTGCCATACCCGGGAAATATTACGTTATGTCCACGCTAGGGTGCCACTGAAAATGTCATTTTATTACTTTCAAGGTCGCGCCTCCTGGTTTTATTCGTATATATGCCTGTTAAGCGGGAGGGCCGCGATGTTAATGACAACCCCTCAACATTTTGCCCAACGGAATTGTGACATAAAAAGCATCGTAGCCAACACGCGCACAGAGGCACAGCGCAGAGGTAGGCATTCAGAGAAGAGGATGGGATCGTGAGCAACCTGTAAACACGATCAGACTGGAAAGACGTCGTCAACAAGCTGACTCGCACAACAAAAGGAACACACCGAGAGGGGGGTGTGCGATCCCACTAAAGAAACACACCGACAGGAGGGTGTGCGATCCCACTAAAGGAACACACCGAGAGGGGGGTGAGCGATCCCACTAAAGGAACACACCGAGGAGGGTCTGCGATCCCACTAAAGGAACGAGAGGAGCGTGTGCGATCCCACTAAAGGAACACACCGAGAGGAGGGTCTGCGATCCCACTAAAAGAACACACTGAGAGGGGGGTGTGCGATCCCACTAAAGGAACACACCGACAGGGGGTGAGCGATCCCACTAAAGGAACACACCGAGAGGGGGGTGAGCGATCCCACTAAAGGAACACACCGAGAGGGGGGTGAGCGATCCCACTAAAGGAACACACCGAGGAGGGTCTGCGATCCCACTAAAGGAACACACTGAGAGGAGTGTGTGCGATCCCACTAAAGGAACGAGAGGAGCGTGTGTGATCCCACTAAAGGAACACACCGAGAGGAGGGTCTGCGATCCCACTAAAAGAACACACTGAGAGGGGGGTGTGCGATCCCACTAAAGGAACACACCGAGAGGGGGGTCTGCGATCCCACTAAAGGAATGAGAGGAGGGTCTGCAATCCCACAAAAGGAACACACCGAGGAGGGTCTGCGATCCCACTAAAGGAACACACTGAGAGGAGTGTGAGCGATCCCACTAAAGGAACACACTGAGAGGGGGGTGTGCGATCCCACTAAAGGAACACACCAAGAGGAGGGTCTGCGATCCCACTAAAGGAACACACCGAGAGGGGGTCTGTGATCCCACTAAAGGAACACACCGACAGGAGGGTCTGCGATCCCACAAAAGGAACACACCAACCAGAGGGTCTGCGATCCCACTAAAGGAACACACCAAGAGGAGGGTGCCCGATCCCACAAGATGGAAACTTTACTTTTCCACACACCTATCGAGCGGCGCCCGAGTCCGTCCATCACCCTTCACGTGTTTTTTACACAAACCTCAAAAAACCGCCAGGCCAGAACGGGAATCGGAATCTTTACCTATCCTGGAGACATCCGATGAGCTACAAACAGTCTTCACACGCCGGACACCAACGCCCACGCCCGTGCCGGCGTATTTTTTCGAGCGAGATTGGCAAGAAGGGATATATAATAGGCAACGTTTTGGGCAACGGCCTTTCTTCATAGTATATATAATAATGTACATGATATATAAGTATATGATAATCAATAGGGTAAGTCCCTTGACACTAACGTTTCATTAATATTGGATCACTTTCACATAAGTTATCATGAACCCCCCGCCCCGTTGCCAACACATGAACAGAACTAGTGCAGTAACACTTTGATCAAAGTGACTGGTTTTCAACAAGGCGGGGCCCGAATAGCTACGCAACTTTATACTCAAGTTTCATTCACGTTGGACCATCCGTACGTGTTACCGTGGTCCCCCCTTGGTTACAGAGAGACGGACGAACGGACAGAGATAATGCAAGAAAACTGTAACATGATGATGCTGCTGCGTAGCAGCTAGATTAGGACACGCGTGCGTAAGAACGCAGGCGTGCGTTATAAAGCAAGCGTGTGAATGGTGTTCGAGCGTTGTGTGCACATTCACACGCCGCCGTCCGTCCGTGTGTTTCCGTGCAAACTACTTCATCGCACAAAGGCTCAATGAGTGGACTGGCCTTGGCAGCCTGGCATGTTTACGCCGGCGGCACAATGCGCGACAGTGGCACGGAAAGCCCTCGGATCGGAAACGCGCAAACCCCCGCCCGTGTTTCAGTGCGAGGGGGGCACGCGACGTCCCATCGACTCAGAAGTCCACATTTGCCAAATTAAAAAATGACACCCAAAAATGACACACACGCGCAAAGATCCCCCGTATAGCCTTAACAGACTGTAGGGGCAAGTGCTGCTAGCGAGCACCTATGAAGGCCGGAATGGAACACGAGGGGGTGGGTGGTCAGCACCACGCCCGGCCGCCTTTATTCAAATAATGGTCACTGGTGTTGGGCATGAGCAGGAATCGAACTCGGGTTGCCAGGCCTGTAGCGCAGCGTGCTGACCATTGTACTACTGCTCCCCACTCGCGGACAAACACACATACATACATCCGCTTTGGATCATCATCATCATAATCGGAAAGTACAGTATTTATTTAGTATTTATGCTTCTATTCATTATCTAGGAATGTTTTTTTGTCTGGGGTTTTTACATGTTCATTTCAATTATTTTGTCTCCAGTTAATTTGGCATTTACACCAGTACTTATTTCATTGTGATGTTGTCTATTTCTGGTTGCCGTGTACCTAACCCCATTGTTTAAGTAAGACTTTAAGGGTTCAATATCTATGGTTTTGCCTTTCGCGGCACTTTACAAGAACGTAACCCCCGCGATATTCAAGTGTCTCCTGTATAATAAGCTAGGTTTCGGGAAAATGTCATTCATCATAGAATGTTGAAAAAATAATTGTAGTAGACAGATATTACGGACGAGACAATGCTAACGTGATGGATCGGGACCGTACAAGCTAGAACATTCAAACGAGACAAAAAAAATGAAATTCTTTAATCAAATCACACGCCTGAATCGTGACAATTCCCCGAATTGCCGGGACAGCGAGTCCTTGCACGCTTTAAGCGCGAGGGTGACCACTAGGCCCCGTGCTCTGGCCCCGCATGCGAGGCCCTGGCATATGTGAGACCCGTCCCATCGCTTAGCTCACCTGGCGGATGGCCAGCGCTCCATGAGGGTCGACAGTGAGCTCGGCGAGATGAACCCCGAACTCTGCACACGCAGAATCGCAGAAGCAAATCATCCCTCCACCATGTACGACACGTCAACCCAGCACGACGGTCTTACACAAAGAGATGAGACATATATAGAGAGCACTCTCACGGTTGTAGACATACACAGAGACAACACTGTGCAGACATATACACAGATATACATCACTCTTGTGTAGACATATACAGAGATAGCAAGGATTACCCCCGTGAAGCCTTTTCAGACTGTTGGGGCAAGTGCTGTCAGCAAGGCTGGCAAGATGCACGAGGTAGTAGTGTGGATGGCACAACCGCCCGGCCACCTTTGTCAGCTATTGATGTTTATGTTTTACACACTGCACCGGGGCACTCATTTGAGGCCGAGTCGACCTAGGGGAGGCCCCAGGACTGCTTCCGTGAGCAGGATATCGAACTCGGGTCACCGGATTTGTGACGTAGTGAGCCAACCACTGCACTTACCGCTCCACCACACCAGTGTAGACAACAAGGCCGTAGCCATGCAGTCAACATTGGGGGGGACCAAATCTTCCAGGGGGTCGAGGGTTCCCCTCCAGAAAAAAAAAATCTAAATTTGAAAACTCATTTCCTGCCATTTCTTGCCTAAAATATTTTTAAAAATTCACTAACACATAGGATGGCCTTTTATTTTATTTTTACAATGTCTAATAGTGTATTGTATTCCATTGCTCTGTTTTTTCTTCTTTACCTTTTCTTGTTTCATTGTATGTAATGGCAGAGATTCGGGATTAATAAAGTACAACCATAACCACAATCATATAAACGGAAATCTATTTTATAGCAATATATTGGGGGGGACATGAGCATATTTGAATATTGGGGGGGGGGGGGTAGATGTGCCCCCCCCCCCAATATTTATTATAATTAGTGCCTTGGTAGACAGACACGCACAACCGGCACCTCCCTCACCATTGTACTGCACGTAGAAATAAAGACTCCCACTTTCACAAGTATGTACATACACAGACAACCACCCTCACCAGTGTAGAGACAAAGACACACACACACACAGAGGCACCACTTCCACAAGTGTACAAGTGAGCCTTCAATTGCCTGGCGGTTGCAAGACTTCATCACTCGGCCACGACTCTCTGCACGTGGGCAGTGCGGCATGTGGCCGACTAAGTCGAGGACATCGTAGAAAAGGAGGGGTGGTGATAAAGTTGTACGGTGGCAAGTGAGGCTGTGAAAAGGTTGGCACTCTGTAGTGTGTAGTGAGAGGCCCTTGATGTCCACTGTGGTTGCCCACCACCTTCCAGGTGTCCTTTGCAAAGGGATTGTGTGTGCGCTTATAAGCGGCTGTGTGGGAAGAGTGGGTTTCACGTATTGCCACACACCGCGAGTTACGCATTCAATTCAATGTGCGCAATTATGCAGCAGTAGCAGCAGCTGAATGAACTGCAGAATCATCAATATCGGTGCCAGACATCACGACCATCATCATCACGGTCTCCGTTCATACCTCCACCATCACCACGACGTCCATCCACAACCGCCATTGCGTGGCGGTGGCGTCACCACGGCGCTTGTGCCAGGCTACGTGCACTTTAAGGCCACGTGAAAAGGCGCGAAGGTTTGCTGGCGGGAGGTCACGGGACTGATTGAGGTGCCGTGGGTTGAATGACTGAGATGACCGGCAGATGCACCAGCTGTTGCCCCCCCCCCCCCCCCCCGTTACTACTCTGATCACCACAACCTCATCTTCAACAACCTCCTCCTCCACTCCTCAACCACATCACCACTACCATCACCTCAATCACCACCACCGCCTCAATCGTCACCACCATAACCACCAAACCCACCACCATCACCACAATGACTACCACCATCACCACCACGATGACCATCAACCACCATCACCACCACAATGACCACCACCATCACCACCACAACGACCATCAACCACCATCACAACCACAAGGACCATCAACCACCACCACCACAATGACCACAACCATCACCACCACAGTGACCATCAACCACCACCACCACAATGACCACAACCACCACCACCACAATGACCACAACCATCACCACAACAATGACCATCAACCACCACCACAATGACCACAACCATCACCACCACAATGACCATCAACCACCACCACCACCACAATGACCACAACCATCACCACCACAATGACCATCAACCACCACCACCACCACAATGACCACAACCATCACCACCACAATGACCATCAACCACCATCACCACCACCACAACCATCACCACCACCACGACCATCAACCACCATCACCACCACAATGACCATCAACCACCATCACCACCACAATGACCACAACCATCACCACCACAATGACCATCAACCACCATCACCACCACAATGACCACAACCATCACCACCACAATGACCATCAACCACCATCACCACCACAATGACCACAACCATCACCACCACAATGACCATCAACCACCATCACCACCACCACAACCATCACCACCACCACGACCATCAACCACCATCACCACCACAATGACCATCAACCACCATCACCACCACCACAACCATCACCACCACAACCATCACCACCACCACGACCATCAACCACCATCACCACCACCACAAGGACCATCAACCACCATCACCACCACAAGGACCACAACCACCATCACCACCACCACCACAAGGACCATCAACCACCATCACCACAATGACCACCACCACCACCACCACAAGGACCATCAACCACCATCACCACCACCACAACCACCACCACTACGACCATCAACCACCACCACTGCCCTCTCACACTGACCCGGGGGGGGGGTCGCGGGTCACGTCTCGGGGTCACGGGTCACGGACCCGGCGCGTGACGTCACCACGCGATTCCCGCGCTCTGCACCGTCACCCCTCCTCGCTCTCCCTCCCCACGCTCTCTCCCTCCTCACCTTCCGTCACCTCCAGCACCTTAATCTGCGCCTCGCCCGCGGCGCGCACCTCCTGCACGGGCGACAGGATGGCGGTGAGCGCCTCCATAAGCGCCTCCCTCAGGCCTTGTTGCACAGGCGCCGAGGCAGCCATAGCCCCCCTACTCCTCCTGAGCCTCAGCGGCTGCGACCGCACTGCGCATGCGTGGTGGGTGGAGGGGGCGGGGCTCCCCCGGAAGTGGTGGTGGGGGTTGGGTTTCGTTGAGAATTGGGAGTGCGGGCGGGAGGCGAGGACTCCTCCACTTACGAACATTCGACATCTGCAGAACGTGAAGAACCAGTGGCATCTACAGAACGTGAAGAACCAGTGGCATCTACATCTGCAGAACGTGAAGAACCAGTGGCATCTACAGAACGTGAAGAACCAGTGGCATCTACATCTGCAGAACGTGAAGAACCAGTGGCATCTGCAGAACGTGAAGAACCAGTGGCATCTACATCTGCAGAACGTGAAGAACCAGTGGCATCTACAGAACGTGAAGAACCAGTGGCATCTACATCTGCAGAACGTGAAGAACCAGTGGCATCTGCAGAACGTGAAGAACCAGTGGCATCTACATCTGCAGAACGTGAAGAACCAGTGGCATCTACATCTGCAGAACGTGAAGAACCAGTGGCATCTACATCTACAGAACGTGAAGAACCAGTGGCATCTACATCTGCAGAACGTGAAGAACCAGTGGCATCTACATCTGCAGAACGTGAAGAATCAGTGGCATCTACATCTACAGAACGTGAAGAACCAGTGGCATCTACATCTGCAGAACGTGAAGAACCAGTGGCATCTACATCTGCAGAACGTGAAGAACCAGTGGCATCTACATCTGCAGAACGTGAAGAACCAGTGGCATCTACATCTGCAGAACGTGAAGAACCAGTGGCATCTACATCTGCAGAACGTGAAGAACCAGTGGCATCTACATCTGCAGGACGTAAAGAACCAGTGGCATCTACATCTACAGAACGTGAAGAACCAGTGGCATCTACATCTGCAGAACGTGAAGAACCAGTGGCATCTACATCTGCAGAACGTGAAAAACCAGTGGCATCTACATCTGCAGAACGTGAAGAACCAGTGGCATCTACATCTGCAGAACGTGAAGAACCAGTGGCATCTACATCTGCAGAACGTGAAGAACCAGTGGCATCTACATCTGCAGAACGTGAAGAACCAGTAGCGATCTACATCTGCAGAACGTGAAGAACCAGTGGCTACATCTGCAGAACGTGAAGAACCAGTGGCATCTACATCTGCAGAACGTGCAAGAACCAGTGCATCTACATCTGCAGAACGTGAATAACCAGTGGCCTCTACATCTGCAGAACGTGAAGAACCAGTGCATCTACATCTGCAGAACGTAAAGAACCAGTGGCATCTACATCTGCAGAACGTGGAAGAACCAGTGCATCTACATCTGCAGACTTGAAGAACCAGTGGCATCTACATCTGCAGAACGTGAAGAACCAGTGGCATCTACACTGCATAACGTGAAGAACCAGTGGCATCTACATCTGCAGAACGTGAAGAACCAGTGGCATCTACATCTGCAGAAGGTGAAGAACCAGTGGCATCTACATCTGCAGAATGTGAAGAACCAGTGGCATCTACATCTGCAGAACGTGAAGAACCAGTGGCATCGACATCTGCAAACGTGAAGAACCAGTGGCATCTACATCTGCAGAACGTGAAGAACCAGTGGCATCTACATCTGCAGAACGTGAAGAACCAGTGGCATCTACATCTGCAGAACGTGAAGAAACCAGTGCATCTACATCTGCAGACGTGAAGAACCAGTGGCATCTACATCTGCAGAACGTGAAGAACCAGTGGCATCTACATCTGCAGAACGTGAAGAACCAGTGGCATCTACATCTGCAGAACGTGAAGAACCAGTGGCATCTACATCTGCAGAACGTGAAGAACCAGTGGCATCTGCAGAACGTGAAGAACCAGTGGCATCTACATCTGCAGAACGTGAAGAACCAGTGGCATCTACATCTGCAGAACGTGAAGAACCAGTGGCATCTACATCTGCAGAACGTGAAGAACCAGTGGCATCTACATCTGCAGAACGTGAAGAACCAGTGGCATCTACATCTGCAGAACGTGAAGAACCAGTGGCATCTACATCTGCAGAACGTGAAGAACCAGTGGCATCTACATCTGCAGAACGTGAAGAACCAGTGGCATCTACATCTGCAGAACGTGAAGAACCAGTGGCATCTACATCTGCAGAACGTGAAGAACCAGTGGCATACATCTGCAGAACGAAAACCAGTGGCATCTACATCTGCAGAACGTGAAGAACCAGTGGCATCTACATCTGCAGAACGTGAAGAACCAGTGGCATCTACATCTGCAGAACGTGAAGAACCAGTGGCATCTACATCTGCAGAACGTGAAGAACCAGTGGCATCTACATCTGCAGAACGTGAAGAACCAGTGGCATCTACATCTGCAGAACGTGAAGAACCAGTGGCATCTACATCTGCAGAACGTGAAGAACCAGTGGCATCTACATCTGCAGACGTGAAGAACCAGTGGCATCTACATCTGCAGAACGTGAAGAACCAGTGGCATCTACATCTGCAGAACGTGAAGAACCAGTGGCATCTACATCTGCAGAACGTGAAGAACCAGTGGCATCTACATCTGCAGAACGTGAAGAACCAGTGGCATCTACATCTGCAGAACGTGAAGAACCAGTGGCATCTACATCTGCAGAACGTGAAGAACCAGTGGCATCTACATCTGCAGAACGTGAAGAACCAGTGGCATCTACATCTGCAGAACGTGAAGAACCAGTGGCATCTACATCTGCAGAACGTGAAGAACCAGTGGCATCTACATCTGCAGAACGTGAAGAACCAGTGGCATCTACATCTGCAGAACGTGAAGAACCAGTGGCATCTACATCTGCAGAACGTGAAGAACCAGTGGCATCTACATCTGCAGAACGTGAAGAACCAGTGGCATCTACATCTGCAGAACGTGAAGAACCAGTGGCATCTACATCTGCAGAACGTGAAGAACCAGTGGCATCTACATCTGCAGAACGTGAAGAACCAGTGGCATCTACATCTGCAGAACGTGAAGAACCAGTGGCATCTACATCTGCAGAACGTGAAGAACCAGTGGCATCTACATCTGCAGAACGTGAAGAACCAGTGGCATCTACATCTGCAGAACGTGAAGAACCAGTGGCATCTACATCTGCAGAACGTGAAGAACCAGTGGCATCTACATCTGCAGAACGTGAAGAACCAGTGGCATCTACATCTGCAGAACGTGAAGAACCAGTGGCATCTACATCTGCAGAACGTGAAGAACCAGTGGCATCTACATCTGCAGAACGTGAAGAACCAGTGGCATCTACATCTGCAGAACGTGAAGAACCAGTGGCATCTACATCTGCAGAACGTGAAGAACCAGTGGCATCTACATCTGCAGACGTGAAGACCGGGGGGTAGCAGACGAACCAGTGGCATCTACATCTGCAGAACGTGAAGAACCAGTGGCATCTACATTTGCAGAACGTGAATAACCAGTGGCATCTACACCTGCATAACGTGAAGAACCAGTGGCATCTACATCTGCAGAACGTGAAGAACCAGTGGCATCTACATCTGCAGAACGTGAAGAACCAGTGGCATCTACATCTGCAGAACGTGAAGAACCAGTGGCATCTACATCTGCAGAACGTGAAGAACCAGTGGCATCTACATCTGCAGAACGTGAAGAACCAGTGGCATCTACATCTGCAGAACGTGAAGAACCAGTGGCATCTACATCTGTAGACGTGAAGAACCAGTGGACTATCTGCAGAACGTGAAGAACCAGTGGCATCTACATCTGCAGAACGTGAAGTACCAGTGGCATCTACATCTGCAGAACGTGAAGAACCAGTGGCATCTACATCTGCAGAACGTGAAGAACCAGTGGCATCTACATCTGCAGAACGTGAAGAACCAGTGGCATCTACATCTACAGAACGTGAAGAACCAGTGGCATCTACATCTGCAGAACGTGAAAAACCAGTGGCATCTACATCTGCAGAACGTGAAGAACCAGTGACATCTACATCTGCAGGACGTAAAGAACCAGTGGCATCTACATCTGCAGAACGTGAAGAACCAGTGGCATCTACATCTGCAGAACGTGAAGAACCAGTGGCATCTACATCTGCAGAACGTGAAGAACCAGTGGCATCTACATCTGCAGAATGTGAAGAACCAGTGGCATCTGCAGAACGTGAAGAACCAGCGGCATCTACATCTGCAGAACGTGAAGAACCAGCGGCATCTACATCTGCAGGACGTGAAGAACCAGTGGCATCTACATCTGCAGAACGTGAAGAACCAGTGGCATCTGCAGAACGTGAAGAACCAGTGGCATCTACATCTGCAGAACGTGAAGAACCAGTGGCATCTACATCTGCAGAACGTGAAGAACCAGTGGCATCTACACCTGCATAACGTGAAGAACCAGTGGCATCTACATCTGCAGAACGTGAAGAACCAGTGGCATCTACATCTGCAGAACGTGAAGAACCAGTGGCATCTACATCTGCAGAATGTGAAGAACCAGTGGCATCTACATCTGCAGAACGTGAAGAACCAGTGGCATCGACATCTGCAGAACGTGAAGAACCAGTGGCATCTACATCTGCAGAACGTGAAGAACCAGTGGCATCTACATCTGCAGTACGTGAAGAACCAGTGGCATCTACATCTGCAGAACGTGAAGAACCAGTGGCATCTACATCTGCAGAACGTGAAGAACCAGTGGCATCTACATCTGCAGAACGTGAAGAACCAGTGGCATCTGCAGACCGTGAAGAACCAGTGGCATCTACATCTGCAGAACGTGAAGAACCAGTGGCATCTACATCTGCAGAACGTGAAGAACCAGTGGCATCTACATCTGCAGAACGTGAAGAACCAGTGGCATCTACATCTGCAGAACGTGAAGAACCAGTGGCATCTACATCTACAGAACGTGAAGAACCAGTGGCATCTACATCTGTAGAACGTGAAAAACCAGTGGCATCTACATCTGCAGAACGTGAAGAACCAGTGACATCTACATCTGCAGGACGTAAAGAACCAGTGGCATCTACATCTGCAGAACGTGAAGAACCA